GTCGTCTTTATTGTTCTTACTCTAGTAGCGGGCGCTCGCCGTAGAGTTAGTAGTACTGTCCGTACCTATGTCCTCGCTGCTACTAGCGGTAGTATAGTTGCTACTCTCGCTGCTCTCGTCGTCCGAGTCTACCTAGTTGTCTTCGAATAGTAACAGGTGTATTAATGCCCTTTTAATAAGCTCCGCTAGAATGCCGTCTAGTCCTAGGGCCTTCCTAGTAGCTATCTTCCTTACCGCTAGGGCGACCTCGTATAGCGTAATCGGTAGGTATTGAATAGGCTCCAAGTACTCAAAATTTAGCGTAATGTCGGCTAAGTCGGCCTGTCTCTACGCTAGGAAGAAAGCTAATTTAAGGAGCTTTGCTTTATCGTAGCTAGATGTAATTAAATAACTATTATATTGCATTGTCGGGAAGTAAGAGGTCCGCGGGCACCCCTAGTTAGATTTCTACTTAATTACTCGCTAGAGTCGTAGGAGGTTGTTGTCGTAGGCCGCTATATCCTGCCTAAATTAGTCTCTCTTCTACGCGCGGAGTTGTCGTTTGTATTCGCCGTATAGTTCTTAGTACCTTTCGTATTCCGGTCCGCTAGTAATCTAATAGCGCCTAAGGCGCCTTTTGAGTTGCCTAGTCTCTCGTCGTAGTATTAAGAATTCGGGGGTCTAGCCGGTCTTCGTTCTACCCTCTATATAGCGGGCTGTTAGTACTGCTTCTTTAATAGCCTAGTAAAGAATCGCTTGTAGCCTAATTATACATTTATCGAGTCGTTCGGGGGTATCGAGTTCTTCTATACTCGGGACTTAGAGTTAGCGTAGGTAGGCGGAGAGGGCGTAAACATCGGTTTGTTTCTACTTCCGCCTCGGCTCTTTATACGGCATCGCCGGCAGGCTCGTAAAGGCGAAGGTAGATTCAATTAGTAGGTAGTCGGAGTCCTAGTCGTATTCGGTACTAACTAAGAGGCTGCGGTGTGTAATCGTTAGTAAATAGAATACTAGGTCTAACGTTAATGCCCCGCCGTCCCTTAGATTAATTCGCGTCGTCTGCCTTATAGGTACTACCTATGCTAGCCGGCAGTCGTTAGCTATTTAGTTTGGTTGCCTACCTCGGGCGTTATTTAGTTTGTCCGGCATCTATCTTTAATAGTATGCATTAAAATCGCTAACTAGGATAGTGTATAGCGTAATGTATATAGCGAGGTACTAGATAACTATAGAGTCGTTGTCGATTAGCGGCTAGTAGGCATTAATTATAGTAAGTGTTTGCTAGCCTAACCGGACTGTGATTTTGTAAACGTATTCCTCGGTTAGGTGCGTTATCTATTTACTCGTATCCCATCGTTTAGTAATAAATATAGCTACCCTCGTATCTAGTTTGCTAGCGAAGAGTAACTAGAAGAGACCCCGCTATAGTTAGTGCGTAAGTATATAGCCCTCGTTTTGCCGATTTAGGTAGAGTTCTTATATAGCTATAATATCGTATTCGTGTATCTAAGGGCTATTAAAGAGGGCTGCTATTCGGTAGAGGCTGCCGGCTACGTTATGTTATAGGATGCGTAATGTTTTGGGCGGCGGTAGGTCTACCGGTCTCGGACGTTATCGTAGCTGTCCGGTTGAAATAGTGTGTCTTAAGACTCGTCGCTGCTGCTGCCGCTAGTTCCCGCCTCGCTCGAACTCGTATCGCTGTCGTTTATAGCTATAGGGTCCCCCCGTACCGGTTAGAGCATCTATTCGTCTTCGGTTAGCACTCTTTACGGTAATGCTTGAATTAGCGCTATAGTTAAGCGGCGAGTAACCCGCTTTAGTTAGTTCTCTTTATCGCTCTCTAAGTTGCGTTTAGAGGCGCGTTTCCGCTTAAGGCTTTTAGCCTTCTTCTTAGCAATTTTAGCGGCTACCTATTAGCCGCTTTGCGTAAGGGTTTTAATTCGCTTACCTCGTCCCTATTCGAGTATTTTAAGCTACTCGAGGTCGCTAATTAAGTCTCCTATACTAGAGTCCGCGCTAGATTGCTAGCCGTTAGTATAGAGTTAGGTTATATCTTCCTTAACTAGTTGCTTTCGTTTCCTCGCCTTAGCGCGCTCCCTAGCTTGTTTGGCCTATAGTAGGGCCTCAACCTCTCTAGCTTTCAACTTTAGCTCTTTAATGCGGAGCGCTAAGTTTTTAAGCGGAGAGAGCGGTGTGTTTTTCTACGGTAATAATAGTATAGTAGTTAGCGGGTGTTCCTAGCAGGTATCTAGGTCGGCGAACACTTTAACCTAGTTCTACGTAGAGGGGACTCTATCTAGGCAAGATATTAGGATAGCGGGCGTAGGCGAAGAAAACACTAAATTTGCTTTAGCGCTTAGTACGGCAGCTATTGCTTTTGCTGTACTACCGCTAGGTTCTAGGACGCGTAGGACGCGTTGTTTACCTAAGTCTGAATAGGGCCTCTCCGGCAGGTCCTTATCGCTTTATAGGTCCGAGTTAGGGGGCGTAATGCGGCTAGTTTGTTTTAATTGTACCCCTAGTGTTTTATCTTAGCTGTTTTCCGGGTCTCGCGGCTCGCCTACTTGTATTGCTACTCGAATGCCCTGTCGCTCTATTAGTTGTTCCTCTATAGGGACATCAAACCTTATACGGTGTTCTCGCGTTCCTACTACCTTTGCTTTTACCTTCCTCCTCTCGGGGCAGCCCTCGCTAAATGCTATATATATATCTTTATATAGTGCATAGCATAGTAGTATGCCTAGTAGGCACGCCTCCTTCTTATATAGCCTAGTATAGAGCGGGCATCGATCTAGTATGCAGCACCGGGTTCTAATATAACCGTATAGTTAGCATTTAAAGCACTACTAAATTCTAGCGCTAGATTCGAAGATCTCGGCGATATATAGGCTGCTATACTAACGCATGCCTCGTTCTAGTATCTTGTTAGCGTTAGATGCCCTCGTAAAATATAGTAGAATCGACGACGTTAGTTTAGTAGCCGCTCTGTTCTTTACTAGCTATCCGATATAGGTAATTGCTCCGTTCGGGATTAATAAGCTGTTTTAAAGTAAGATTTCCTTAATAGCTTTCTATTTGCCCGCGGCATATATACTAATTGTGCGTGTTAGTATACCGTAGACGACTAGAGAGTATATTTAGGTAATAATAGTAGTTCCTAAGCCTAGTTTATTTAGGAATAGTGCGGATTGCCTAATGAATTGCTCTCTCTCCGTATAGCTGTTAAAGTATAGTTCGAGGTCTCCTAATAGGAGTTGTTTAGCGGCGCTAACTTGCACCTAAACGCCTTAGTTTCTCGCGTTCTTATTAATTAGAGAGAGTATTCGGAAAGGCTCCTAGTCTACTATCCTTAGTGCCTTCTATACTAATAGGTTAGGTATTTTGATCCTAAGGGTATAGACTGTCGCCGGTTCTATTTGCTGTTGTCTATAGCCTGAGTTAGAGTTCCGTAGAGAGAGTACCGCCTTTTAGACTACCTAGGTAGATTCGCGTATTATAAGTATATTACCTCGCGGGTATGTTTTTATATATTATAGTGTTTCCTTTCCTACGGCCGTTATAGTAACCAGCTACGAATGAATGTTATATAGCATTATACTAATATCGTTCGTCGCGTAGTTGTTTACTTAGAACGCGTAATTTAGTCTAAACTCGAGCAGCTTATCTAGGACCTAAAGCGCGTCTAATTTGGTCGGTCTCTTTCTAGGCTCGCCCTTTAACTATGTCTTAAGCTCCTAGCAGTGCTTCGTAAAGAGTATAGTATTGTCTTAAATTGAGGTAGTATTGAGTATCTTTAGTATTGTTGGTCGCTAGTTTGTTTTAATCGGACGCGTCGCGGGACTCATTTTAGCGACAGTGAGGTGGCGTCTCGTCGTATCGCGAAAATATTAGTACTGGCGGAGTCGTCACGTCGCAGCGGTCAACTTGATGTATGTTACAGTATAGTGTAGGTTACTTGGTGCAAAAGGTTTTCATAGTCGGTAAGCTGTGATGCTAGCAACCAGTCCCGGAAATGTTCGTACTTCGCTAGCTATCACTTCTTCTTCCGCCTACGCGTCTTCGTCTTGCCTTTCTCTCAACATCAACACTCGCGACGAACGGGAGCCTTGAAGCTCACACTATCGATGCAGCAGAGCAGATTGATGGCTTTGTGGAACGAGCAGTCTCAGCCTGACAGTCGACCCATGCAAGCGACTCCTTCCATTGCTATGTAGCAATATCGATACGTCCTCAGAATGGTGTCGTCAGCAGCCTAGTCCTCTTGTGGCATGTTGCAGTATATCGCTTGGACTTGGCCCACTGCTCATGCGTCGACCGGCTGGCCGGGACCACTCCTGACAATCAAATCCGAAGCCGATGCAGCATCGGACAGCAGAACGATGTCTAGCTCATTGTGATCTTGCAGCTAGATCACGATGTTCGTCTACATGATCTGTACAAAGATGCTGGTTTGTAGCCGATGCGAAAAGAAAGCAACGTGGTATGCATCAACGAAGAGGGCTTTTCGAGCCTAATGGACTCTTCTGTGGCTGGAATATCGGTCTGCGAGCAATCTGAACTGGACGATTACCATCACGTAGGGCAGATATACGACACAGGCGTCGCTATTCTAGGTTTTCAACTTTACATCTTCAAGCCCCCACACATTCCAGATAATCGAGGGTCTTCGTCGGCCAAGGTTTTAGGAGTGCCAGTCGTCCAGCAAAGCATCATGTCGTAGCAAGCGTTTGCACCGTTGAATGAGCGCAGAGCAAATTGGTCTGCCACAGCGCCGCCCCAGCCGGGCGTGAACAAGTTAAGTGGTCGCAGGATTACAACACCATCCACATGTGAATGAAGTTCTACGGTGCTGACAGTATAGTATAGCACGGTTCTGGACATCTTATTGACGCCTCAGTTTCTGTATAGAGTCGTACACACTGATCATTCTCGTCATGCATCAAATCCTGCTCTCACGAAAGCCAACAACCAGTTAGTGCCGTGGAGAGCGTGCTTCGAAGTCTGCTCTACCATTGCCTGAAATGGACCAGCGAGAATGTGTAAAAGTCGAATTCGATCGTGATGAAAACTACGGCTGGGTCGATTTGGGAGATCATGACCAGCTTCACAACTCTCGATTCTTAAGGCCATCGATGACTGAATCTGCACCAAATGAAATTCGTATCGAGGCCTCGCACGAACCCGACGAGAGCGCTTCTCCTGGCTCACCCGCTAGTGTAGCAGTGTCAAATCTGCACGAGTCCTCGATCGCAGGACCTACTCCAGAGCTTGTAAAATGGTCGAACCACGAAGACCTCAAAGCGAGCATTACCAAGAATCGTGCGGATCTCGAGCAGATGATGCAGAATTCCGAGACCGATCGCGCCCAGCTTTGGAAACATGTTCAGTCTCTTCGGCAGGAGCTCAGCGAGCGTGGCGACCAACAAGAGCTCACGCTCAGAGAGATGGAGCTGAGATTCAAGAGACGAGTACAGGCCCAAGGCGACGAGCTCAGTGTTCTAAAGTCGCAACTGCAGACCCATGCTGAGCTCAAAGAAGTCCTTCAGCGTATTCAAGGACAGAATACTTTCGTACTTGAAAGTACCCGTGCAGAGATCTCAGCCGAGCTCAATCAGCTCACGCATAAGATGTCTGCAATCGAGCAGGAACTCGAAGACAGCGTGGACCAGAAATTTTCCACGCGGGCTGCTGATATCGAGATCGCTCTAAGACATGAACGCTCGGTACAAATTTATGGGGAACGTCGGCTTGCAGAAAATTTACAAGACCTGAAGACAAGCACGGAGAACGCTATAGAGACAGAGCGTGTTAGGAATGAGCGGGCTGTGGCCACAATGACTACCGAAGTCGAGCACGTCAACACTAACGTCGGTGATGCCCTCCGCAGCCTGAAAGCCGAGATTGACGATAAGGGTGATGCTCTCGCTGCCAATATTGACCGTGCATTCGATGAGTGCAGGCGCATTGAAAACGCTTCGCAGAAAGAGTCGTCGAAGCGGACGAAAGATCTTCAAGCTCTCGAAGCCCGTCTGAAGGAGATGGAGCAGAGACATACCAAAGACATGTCCGTCCTAACCTAAGAGTTAGAAAAGACACAAGAAGGATTTTCGATCCTCAAAGAATGGAACGAGAATTTGCAAAGCGAGATTCAGAATTTCCGAACATCTCGCAAGACTGGTGGCAAAAAACAAACGGCTGAGGAGGGAGATGAAAGCAAAACGAGCTCATTCCGAAAGACGACTGGAGCAGAGGAGGGAGATGATCACAAATCTAGAAGCAACCCGAAATCTTCCACATCGACATCGACAGCGAACCCGATACCTCATACTGAGCAACAGCCCGATCAACAATGTCAAACTTCATCGCAACCCACCGAACCTCCCCACTACACCCAAAACCAACACAACTGGTACCACGCCTTCAGCTACCACGGCGACTGCGAGTATTGCACGGAACGAATGTCACTCGATGGACTCTGGTACTAACTCAGTCTGCTTCGGCGTGTATGTATGTACGTAGAAAAACACGAGACTTCTTGCACTTTTGTCCTCAATTTCCCCCCCAAAAAAAAGAAAAACTCATATCTCAATTCGCTCTTACAACGGCAGGTCTCGGACGACTCTCCGCACTAATCCGTACTTTCCCATCATCTGTTTTGGGACTTAGTCTAGTCGATACCGGAGCTCGTAGGGGTTGGGGTCGAGAGGTGTTGTTTGAAGCTGCGAGTTTGGATAAAGGAGTGGTGGTAGGTTTGGAAGGAGGAGGAGGACGTGAGGAACTGGAGATTTTGACTTTGCCGTCTGGGGTTCTTTCGCTTTGGCTTGTTGATACGGGGGGTGGTCTTGGAGTTGAGGTTGTGCTTGGAGCGAATGGTGGACCTGTTCCAGGCTTTGTAGTTGGTGGTGGCTTCGTTGGGGCTGGAGAGGTGCTAGGCATAGGTTTCTTCGCGGGTAAGACGCGATTCGTTGGTTGTGGCGGCTTCGAAGGCATTGCTGCAGGCTTCAGCGAGCTTGGTGTCTTGTCTGGTGCAGGTGAGGCTTTCGCTGCAGCTGGCAATGCCTTTGTCGCCGTCTTCTGACTTCCATTTGCTGTCCTCTTCACCGCTTGATTCGGCTTCACGGCGGTCTTCGTCTGTGCGCTTCCGCCGCCAACGGGTCCGTCGGCTGCCATTGAGTTCTTGATGCCATCACCATAGTTGTTGATGTAGCCTCCCACACCACCAATCGCACCTGCGATGCCTAGGAGTTAGATTGCACATTAGTGAGGATGTTACGCGTGCGGGAAGACACACCACTCGTACTTTGCCCAACTGAACGACCTGAGTTTTCGATCAGAGAACCAACACCGCCAACAGCATTACCGGCAAGCGTTCCTCCAGCTTGGATGCCAGTCTTCGCATAGCCAGATACTTTATCTATGACCCAGTTCTTGGCCCATTCCATGTTGAAATCGTTGCAACTGATTATTCAAAGTTCCAGTATTTCGTTGTCGAGACTGTTGGAGTCATGACAAGTCTTTAGAAACATTGTGAGTGGCGTCAGAAGAGCAGTCAATCGATCCAGACCCTTTGTCGTTCAAAGGAGTCGATCTCTTGCATATGGTGGAGTCGGCCTCCAAGTTTCACGCAACTTCTTGCGTAGAATGACGTTATGCTATCAACCTGTGCAACCCCAGCCACAACACAGGATCACAAACATCCCTGTGCTGAGTACAACCATCGCCACTGTCGCTTAGACCGCGGTAGAGGATGCTGTGGAAATCACACGAATGGAAGCACGCAGCTTTGACTTTCATGGCTCAGACCCAAACAAACGTCTGATGCCAAGTTGATAAGATTTGTCTGCCTGGTTCGTTGTACATGCTGCATCACCTAGTCGCTTAAACGCTTCCATCTCAGGATTAACAAAGATTCAATTCATCTTACCATTAGGATACTTCAAAGTACCAAGAGGCTTCGAGTTGGACGATCTGAGTTTCCTCTTGCCCTCCTCGGTCAGAACAAAGGTCGGAGGCTCATTCGGTGTAGCTGGCGACTCTCCTTGTACAGAGGCTGCTTTCTTTGGCGGAATGACTTTTGGTCTTGCAAGCTTGGGAGGTGCGCCATTCACAGAAGCTGCTTTTACCGAAGGAGCCTTTGCAGGACCATTACCTCTGTTCACGAATCCATTCGGTGGCTTTACTACGCTGGCTACTTTGCGAAGACCGCCAGAAGTTTTTGGAGTCTTTTTGACGGGAGGCGCTGGCTGTCCAGGGAGTGCGGCGCCCTTCGTGCTTGCTCGATGAGCAGCCATATTCTTGAGTTGGGATCCAGCACTGTGAAGTGCCATGCTAGTGATCGGTCGCGTGATCATGCTTTCCATGTTTGCCAAAGGCATCTCTTTCTTCACCGTCGCAGCCGGTTCTGGTGACGGTGCGTTTACGCTCATCACCGACCTAGCGGCTTGAGCAGAGGCTTGCTTCACAGCTTTCTGCTGCTCTGCGGAGATCGATGCATCAGCAGCTGGCGCTCGAGCTACCTGCTTAGCAATTACTGGGTCTCCCGAACTTTGCAGAACTTTTTTCATTTGTGCTTGAGTCTTCGGCGGAGCTTTCAGAAGCCGGTCAAGTACGGTGTTGGGTAACGGATTCTGCTTGTTGGCAGCTAGCAGAGCACGGCGAATTGCTTCCTGACTGGCAGGTCCTTTTGGCGCCTTCCCAATATTCAGCAAATTGAACTGCTGCGACTGAGCAACCTTTCTCATCAGCTCATCGAAATTCACCGGTTCTGTCGGATCAATGCTTGAAAGTGCTCCAGCTGCTGTGGTGATCGGACCAAAGATGCTCAAGAATTCGTCCCAGCCGCCGCCTTTGACAGAAGTATGGATTGCTTTCGCCGGCCTCGGTTTCTCCTTGCCCTCCACGGCGAGCATAGCTTTAGCTGGATCTTCAGCTGGAAAGCTTCCAAATTTGTAGAAATGCTCCAACATGTAATCCTTCTCTCGCCATCGGTTGACCAGCCAGCTCTGGAACTGTTCATCGTCTTGATACGGAATCTCAGAAATTTTGAACCTCCGAAAGAACATGTTTACTGACTTCGGCGGCCTACCTTCGAAGAGTGACGATTTGAGGGTAAAGATGTCCTGGCCATAGAGGCCTTTAGGCACCCCTTCGTAGGCAATCGTGCAGTCATATAGCCAATTTGTCGATGGCCGCATCTCCTGTAGGCAGAATTGTAGGCCCGTTGTTCTCGGTAAAAGTTGGTGTTTCATGTCTGGAATTCCCGTCTTCTTCGACCAGCTTGCCGACTTCTCTCTTGTCACCGCAGACAGATTGGTGCCTTCTGGAAAGATCAAAAGCCACATTGGGTCCTGTGGGTTCTTGAGGTGATCAAGATGTTTCTTGAATCTGTAGCGATCTTGCTCCCATTTACGGCTCAAGAAGATGAAGTTGTAGAATTGCATGCCCCACCCTATGATCGGGACCTGCTTGAGGCTTTCCTTCAAGATGATGTATATTCGGCCGTGCATCTTATTGGTATATGCGATCCACCAGAGATAAAGCCAGTCGGTGTAAAGCTGATGGTTGCCCATCATAATCAATCTATGTGGGAAGTTGCACCTTAAGTCTCCATCGTCCATTTGGAACAATTGCCCTTTCATGCTGTCGTCGCCGCTTACTCTTACCACGGTAGGAGCCCACCATTGGGTTATAGTGGTCATCAGTACAGCAAACGATTCTTTCGTCCAGGCCATATAAGCTTCATAGAATTTCGAGTCGATGAGCTTCAGAGGCGCTCCGATGAATTGTGATGCCGATATGGCCATGATACCAGATAGAAAAGTCGAGGCAGCCGAGAAGGCGCGCTCTGCTTGTCCCATTCCGCCATGTCGTATAGGATTGGGATTGTCGACACCAGACTTCAGGCTCACACCTGCCTGCTTGATATTCTTGCTTGCTGGTTTTGCCACGGACGCCATACTTTCCTACTTGCCTAGTGTATTCGTGTCATGAGTGTGGCTGTTGCTTTTGTCAAGATTGTAACACAACTGACCTCGCGATGACCATGGAGATCTCGAACACAAGAAGAACGCCACGCACCGGTAAGCGACACGAGCGATCCCTGCCATGTAACCGCCATGCAGAGAGTGTGCTCTCAGCCACACAATAGCTACGGTCAGCTGGGTGATGGTGTGGGTAGCAATCCCTGTTTTTATGTACCGAATTCCATGGCCAGAGAGCTCCGCTGTGACGTAGGAATATGAGGAGGCGTCTCCTGGCATTCGAAGCACCGCATGCCAGTCGCCACAGGCAAGATATCGTAGACCTACTAATGATCAATCTGCTTGATCGACTACCCGCCCAGAACTTCACTTCCCCCGCGAGTGGTTAGAATATCGGAGAACGCATACAGCCCCAGTCATGGCGACGGCAGTGCATTCATCCAGTCCGCAAATCAACGGCTATCCTCGAAAGCCAACCGCTCCTCTCAAAAGACCAACAGCCACGGCCGCCAAGAAAGTTCCGCATGGTGCAGCAGCGAAGGCACCTCCAAAGCCCGCGGCGCCTGTCCAGAACAAGGCTGCATCAGTAGCAGGCGAGAGTCCCGCGAGCGGCGGAGGAGTCACGTCAGCTTATGCCATCATGGCCCATAGAATCGCGAACCGTGTCGCGGAGATGGCAGAAAGCATCACGTTCGTCGAGAAGTAAGTGTGCTTAATCAAATCAACCATCAAATAGAGTTCACACTAGAACTAACAACCCTCTCCATTCACAGGCCCAAACCTCAAGAACCCGAACCAACTCCACCCGCAGAACTCGAAAAGCGACGGCCACGAAAGCTCGAGATGAGGCTCAATGGCGGCACTGCCGACTCGGTAGCTTTCTCCGCTCCATTTCTGGATAACACGCTGCAGAAAATGTTGCAGTTGCAGAACCGGATGCTGAAGAGCAGTGCCGAGCTGAGCAAAGCCGAAGGTGTGGACGAGAAGATGGTGAAAGAGCATGCGGCGCAGAGTGCGGAGTTGAGCAGGATTATTGCGCTGATTTGTGCGGAGAAGGCGAGGCAAGGCGCTTAAGGAGGAGGAGGAGGAGGAGGAGGAGGAGGAGGAGGAGGAGGAGGAGGAGGAGGAGGAGGAGGATAACCAGATGGAACAACAGCACCGGCAGGAGAGATGCTGGGGAGATGGTATACAAAGATAAGGCAGGATATATGGATGATCGACGGAACTGCTTGTACGATGATGACTTAGTGCGAGGCGTTCTCGCGGAAAGGATGTTGGCATAAGCTGTGAGTATTTACAGATATGCAAGAAGGGTTTCAATCACTGCATACACTCTCAACCAGATCTTGACGTTCATCTCGTAGCATCAGTCGTGCAGGCTCAAGGACGAATTCGAGCGTGCAGGCTTGTCTTTTTGGTATGCGTTGTCAGTCTTCCTGGCGGAGCCGGCGACGACAGTTGGTCCACTCTTCGACTTAAGATGTACCATGTCTCATTGACTCTATCCAGACTCGTCGTGCCCTTCTTGTTGGCCACCACTCTCAATTCTTCATATGAATATCGTGCAATGTTGTACGCTGCTTTGAGCATGGCTCGCTGCATTGTGCTGTGTGCCCTTCAGAACACGAGGACTATCAGCTGCGAAATGGCGGCGCCTAGCTATCCTGGATGTAAGACTCTGTGCTCGAGGTCTTAATGCTCTCCAGGCGCGTATAGATGCCCTAGCTGTTGACATTATACACCGGTACAGAGGTGTTTATGGCGTCCGCAGTCAACCTTGGACAAGAGAAAGAAAGACTTGCCATGCCTACCTTAAAATTATGAAATACAGCCTTGCTTCGCTATGACGCTACAAGGCTCCATGATCGGAGGCAGGGTGGGAGCTGCAGCTATGTGCATCTGTCATTGGCCGTAACGGAGAAGGCTGCGCAATCGCTGGAAGGTGAATGAAGACAAAATCTTATCTTATCTGATCGTATAATGCGGCGCGACATCCTGGTTGTCGCCGAGCAAGGGCCGTTCCCAACCTCCTGCATCGCAACTTCCATACCTCGAAGACCGCCTTGCTCCGAACGAAAGATTTTCTCTAACTGATTTCTAGGTATCATACGTCCTAGGATAGAAGAGCAGCTTGAAAACGTTTGTGAAGATAGAACCTTGAGTTACACTACGGAAGGTAGAATGAAGTCTATAGGAAGAGCCCGAGAAGGAGGGATCTGACGTCGTGTAGCCAATATTCTCCCAAACGCTCTCCGGAGTCTTGACGCGGTCCAGCTCGCCAACAAGAATCAAAAATCCTTATTAGTGTCGAGATTGGAGATCTAACTCTACGTAAAGCTAATCTAGACAGATAGCGCGATTAGACTTTGTTTAGAATATATCTGCCGCTAAAGCCCTAGTTGTGTCCGCCTAGATACTAGGTAGGTTTGATAGTAGATAATAAGGTTCATCTACAGTACTCCAAATAGTGGCAGATGATCTCTAGTTCTAGGGCGCAGCGATTTCCCATATTAGGGTCGTGGCCAAAAGCGAAGCAGGGCAGGTGTCACGCCGTAGCTGAATACAGTAGATTGCGTCTTAGAGGATGCCTATATTTTCTCCGAAGGAGATCTGATCCAGCAGGTATGCCAATCCATCCTGATCACCATCCCCCGGCGTCAAGATAGGCTTATACCATGGAGACTCGTCTTGTGAAAGCATGATTCAGGACTTCACGAACGATCTCGCGATGATCAGCGAGTCCGACCAAGCACTGTTGTGCGCCGATATGGGTCCAGGAATCTCTATTACCGAGTCGTCACCAACACCTTCATATTCATTCCACCATGCAAGTCTGCCACCAGTTTGCAAGGACGTCGAGCTTTTCCACGGTCATCTCAACATGCCTCTGAATGGCGCAGCCGAACTATGCATACCTCCAGGGAACATTATTCTGCCCTGGGAAATGAACAGCCAAGTCCACGTCAACTGGATCGACAACAATAATGCCGAGCAATCGTGCGAAGCAGATTGGGGAGCAAACATCATCCAAGCCTCCTCCCCTCTTCCACCCAACAATCCTCTTTCCCCCTCCCCTAGCACACTACTACCCCCCTCATCAGAACCCCCTAGGACCTTACTCTGCACATACCCAACCTGCAAAACCCTCACGCGCTTCACCCGCAAATGCGACCTCCGCAAACACATCAAACGCCATTCCATCGCATTTCACTGTCGCCACAAACACTGTCCGCGCGCAGCGAAGGAGCAAGGCTTTTCATCGAAAAAAGATCGTGAACGACATGAGGCTCGCCATGATCCTCGGATTGGGTGTGAGTGGGAGGGATGTGCGAGGTTGTTTAGTCGGAGGGATAATATGGTGAGTTTGGTTCGGAGAGGATGGGATTGAGACTGAGACTGATGGTTTAAACGGTAGAGGGATCATGTGAGGAGGGTGCATTTACGGAGGAGGGATGGAATCGGGGAGGGAGTTGAAGTGAAGGGTTGTGAAAGGGGAAGATGTTTATTTATGCAAACACCTGGAACCTCTTGAGATCGGACTGCATTACTCTTGCACCTGTTCGACGGTCCTTTCGCGGCAGACCCGTTTCAGGACGCAAAACCCACATTCGAAAGAAAGCGATGGCGCAGGAGGGTATGGGAAAAGGTGGAAGTCACTAGCAGCCCCGAACTTTCGCGTGAGGCTGTGAGATGTCTTGGCCGGATTGTGAGAGCGGGCGAAGCCAGATGATATTGGTATATAAGCCCGGCCACTTCCCGCTGAGCTACCGCTCTTGCCATATCGATATTCCTTGAGTGAGCCAAATACTGCTCTCACTGCCACCGAAGAAGCAGGAAAAAGACGGCCGAAAAAAAAACTCGCGAACGTCAAGTCGACCTAATACTGGCACAAAGTCGCATGTCGACATTCTACATCCTACCGAAAACTTGACGGCGCCTAGAAGCAATCAGTTCCGACCAGCAAAAGAAAACGAATCAATCGGAACAGGCATGGTGTACGACCGACCGACACTCACATTTTGCTCATAAATTCGTTTTTGCGGCACACTATAGACTTATATCTTCAGCCTACGTAGCCAAACTTTCTCGAAACTCGAACGAGCATATGATGTATCTACGCCTTCTGAAACTGCTGATTCACATTCGCGCGCGCCTGCGCCACATCAGCAGGCGCAACACTGCTCCGTCTATTCGCCTCTTTAACCTTCTTCCCAAGCCCCACAAGCTGACCCATCTCCCTCCAAAAGCCCGTAGGCGGGTCCAGGAACGTCTCCTCGTAGGCATCAATGATAGGTTTCTCCCACACAAGATCCGCTTCGGAAGACTTGATCCATTTAGTTTTGTGGATGAGTTTCCAGATGAGGAAGAGAGGGGGGATGAAGAGTTGCATGGTGTAGTTTGCGAAGAAGTTCGAGACGTCCCAGGGGAGGTAGCAGGTGTAGCCGTAGATGCAGGTGACGATGATCATCCAGACGAGGGCGAAGTAGGCGCAGTAGGGTTGGAAGTAGCCGTAGTAGGGGAGTTGGCGACGGTCGAAGCCCTGCGCTTTCATGGCTTGGTAGAAGCGGATGTAAGTGATGCACATGGTGATGTAGTTTATGAGTCCTGGAATGGGTTAGTGTTTTTGCTTTTGTGGAGTGGAGCTCGATGTGTGGTGGACGTACCTCCGCCAGTGACCAAGCTGGCAAACCAGGTTGTAGCTACGGCTGAACTGCTTGAGACGGCAGTGAAGGCGAGCAATGGGAAGATCATGACTACACAGAAACAGTAGATCGGGACACCTTTGCGGGTACAGTGTCGCAGGAATTTGGGAGCTCGTCCTTCGAGTGACAGACTGTACAAGTTGCGGACCGCGCAGTAGGTGTAGGTGTTTCCGGCAGAGAAGATCGAGGTCAGGATCAATCTGGAGCACGAATTAGCAGGCAACCTCTGCGGTTTTATGATCGCGACTTACGCATTGACGATATCGGGGAAGACTGAGATTCCGAGGTTGCCCATGGCAATGACATACGGCGAAGCAGCGGCACCTTCGGCGCCTACAGTGCCAGTCACAATTCCGGCCAGGGTTGGATCACGGGAGCTGCAGACGATGCCAACTGCCAATGCTCCACCAATGAAGAAGATACCGAATCGCAGATACACCATTTTGAAAGCGGCCTTGATGTAGATGCGAGGGCGCATAGCCTCGGCTGCGACGATGGAGATGTACTCAGGACCGACAACTGTGAAGACAGCCGAAGTCAGACCACCCAGGTACCCTTCAAATCGACCTAGATCGCCACTGGTGATGTATTCTCGAAAAGCTCCTCCATTCGTCCAGTTCCGAAAACCATAGACATCGCCTCGTGGGTTTCCACCAACCATGGTGATGAAGGTGAAGAAGAACAGGGAGAATATCAGAATGACCTTTCCGCCGGACAGCCAGAATTCAGCCTCACCAAAGGCTCCGACTGCGAGAATATTGATCGCCCTACAACAAGTCAGTCACTGATCGCGCTTATAATGGGTAGAGCTCACTTACGCGTAGCAGATGATGACAGCAATAATGATACCAGCTATGGGACCAGGTTTCGTGACTTCATCGCTCCAGTAAGAGATGACCAACGTGAAGGCAGATATTTCGAAGGGGACAAGCAGAGCCTCGTAGAAGCTATATAAACAGCGTGTCAGCGTTGTGCGCGCGACACGTCCACGTCACCGCTTCTACTCACAAGAAATTCCAGCCGACCATGAATCCCAGCGCATCGTCAACCCATTGTCCAGCGTGTCGAATGAAACCTCCTGAAACGGGGTAGGCAGTGGTCATTTCAGCGACACTGTTGTTGACCATAGCAAGCACACACGACTGGCACACGTACGCGAGCAACAAGTTCGCAGCGCCACCATGGTAGAGACCAGTTCCAATGCTCACGAAAAGCGCCGTACCAATCGAGCCACCAATCGCGATGAGCTGAATCTGTCGGTTTCGAAGATGTCGCTGGAGTTGATCGGCGTTGTCGGCGGAAAGACCTACAGCAAAATCATGGTCCTGTGCGACTCCAGAAGCTGTCGGCGAGACATCGCTGCCCTTCTCTCTGCTGCCGTCGAAGATGCCCATGTTCGACGACGAGCTCTGTGTGAGAGGGTCTTGTTCCAAGAAATGCGAAGAGAGCGACAAGGGTCGAGGAAAGGAACAAGAGTCAGGGTGGGAAGGGAAGGGAAGTGGTGTGGTTGGAAGAGGCTTAGATGCCCACGCGACCGCTAACTTAGTCAACAGTAGTAGCTAGCTCGGCGATCTCTCAACCGTAACCCTTGCGGAGTGTGGACTGTGGAGTCGCTGCGCTTGCGGCGTAGCCGTGTCGTGTCAGTCGTGAAGGATCATTAGGCACCTTGCGCAGTAGGTTTCTAGCCGTTTAGCATATGTAAGAAGCCGCGAATAGCGCCGTTTTAGCGGCGGAAAGTGAATAACCAGACTAACGGTTAATAAGAGGTTGCGCAGGCAATTTGGTAGCGTTTCTCGATCGATTGCTTAGTAAGCAACGGAGGTGCTAAGACGCGCCCGGGGTCTTAGACCTTACTATAATTAGCAGGCAGATAGGATTGCTATTGCTATAGCATACTATAGCGGAATACGACTTAAACGGCTTCTTAACTAATAGTAAACTTAATAAGGATATAATCGCCGTTTGTAGTAGAATAATAGTAATAACTATAGCTATCTTAGCTTCCGAGGTCGACAATCTACTAGATCTAGCTATTCGCCGAGAGGGTAAGACCGAGCGTAAATACTAGTATAGATAGGCTCGTAGTAATAGGCTATATAAAGAGCTACGCGAGTATCTAAGAGATAAGCAATAGTTACTAGAAATGCACTCTAATACTAACTTCGAGGGCGACTTCCGCTTTAGTAAGTAACAAGTAATAGAATTAGCCGAGTTACTAGATATTAAGTCGATTAAGTTACTATACCGTATACGTTGCGATCTAGTAATAGTATTGTATATTATATGCGGAAGGCTTAGTAATCTAGGTTATTAACGCAACTTAAGCTAGATCTTTAGTCGTAGTAATAGCTAGATTAGTCGTATGTTTAATGCCGGCTGCACTTAAATAGCAAGGCGTTAGAAGGACAGGTTAGTATAGGACTTTAATAGGTTAAGTAAAGCCTATCTATAGCGAATAGCCGTTACTATTACTAGATTAATCGATATAAAGTACGTCTTCGGTTATATCGATAGTATACTACGGAAGTGCTATAGACCGACCTATAACTAGCGGCTGTTCTATAATAGCTATAAGCACTTCTATAGACTCAAATATTAAGGTATTGTCCTACCGGATAGTATAATATTAATCTACGGTCTAGCGCCTAGATTATATAGCGATACGGCTTTAGTACTCGAGTCCGGCTTTAACGATATCTAGAAGTCCTATTTCGAGCCGCTAGGGTAGCTATAACGACCCTTCGAAGAGCGGGTGTTCTTATATAGTAATTAGGCCTATAATATCCTTAATAGCATTATAGGAAGCTAGAAGACGACGAACGGCGAGTTTCGTAATACTAGTAAGGCTACGGCGGTAAAGGAGATAAGTACTATACGCTAGTCGGTCGAATAGGGCTTTACTAAGGTTGTTAACAACTTCGAGTTAATAAAGTACTTCTATAGGCTCCGAGTCGAGTTAATACTAGTCGGAGCGATATATCTTATTACTATACTGCTTACTAATTGCCTTACTTGTTATCGTAGCAATAAGATTAGTCGGTTATATAAGGTAAACCTACCGAGTATACGCGAATATCTCGCTAACCTACTACCCCTACCTATAATACCTATAGCTTAAACTAACGACGGCGACCTTCTACGCTATAGTAGGGACTTCGGATCGGGCTATTAAGCTAGCGACGAGGTATTCGATAGCGGCGCTTCGTTTAGGTATAGTCGTATAGTTATACTGTTCTATAAGACGGACGAGATTAAGGTTGTTAATATAATAGAAGAAGATTGAATTAGGAGATAGAGGTAGAAGACGTAGGAAAGTAGTAGATACGGGTATACCCGTACTAGCGCGTAGTATATTATACGAGATGCTTTAGGACTTTAAATATAACAATAATATTACTAATTTTATATACTCTTACGTACGCTATATTCTTTAGTATACGGCGCGTCTTATCGTCTAAAAACGAGCGAAAACGAGTAATATATTATTATATAGCGAGTCGTAGAAGGTCGAAGCCTACTTACTAAGCGATAAAATCTCGGCTTTCCGTATTACTTCGAGCTATATACTATAACACCTACCCTATTTTACGAGTCCCTTAGAGCCGTCGATATAGGTTCGCCGTTCGAGCTCTAACCCTACGATTTTATTAGGTATAGAAGGTCTTAGCGCTCTCGTATCGAACGAAGCTACGATTTCGAATAGGCACTCGTAAAAGAAGATATTAACTAAGTAATTACAACATTCTCGATAATAAGAACACGATAATTGCAATACCCTAAGCTTAACCCTTACCCTAACCCTAACCCTAACCCTAACCCTAACCCTAAGAGATTAAATTATCTACGAGAATATCTCTTCCTCGATAGTATTAAGGTCTACGAAATAGTCGCTATCGTTATCGTAGTCTAGCGACTCTGTTTAACTTCCTATAGTACTATTAGAAGCTACTATTTAAGACAACGGTAAGGGCCGGAATAGCAACGAAGAAGTAATCGTTACGGATAAAGCCTAGATACTAGACTAGACTGCATCTAATTAACGTACTATCTTCGCCTTAACCTCTTAAATAGCCGCATTAACTCTTGTCTTAAGTCCGTCGTTAATGCCGCCGACGGCGCTTACAAATCTAGTAGGACTTAGTATATAAAGTCCCTCGCTATCGACGCTACTAATAGAGGCATCTATAGACGATAATCTTCGTCTTATACTACGTCCTTTAGCTAGTATTCTTAGCGTCTTAAATATAGGTAATAGTACCTCCTTAAGTATAGCTCCTTATGCCTACGAGCTACGCTAAAGCCGTTTAGACTTAAAGTCTAGTCGACGACGCTTAGTAAGCTATATAGTGTTACTATTATTACTAGTGCTTAGCGTATTTAAGTCGACGATCTCTATACGCCGAGCCGGAGTTAACGGTAGATTTAGATCTAGAGATAGCTTAGTTAGAGCGCTCGATATTAGTATAAGTATCCTTACTTTATTATTAGACTACTAAGAGAGGGTCGATAGTATATTATCTCGTATATTCTATACCGGAGCGTTAAAGACCCTTAGTTCTTAAGGCTATAATACCCTCTCTCGCTATGCCTTATCGAGCCGGAATATAGTATCGATTGCCTTATCTAGTAATTAATCCTATAGTATGTCTATAACAACCGCTCTAGAAGCCGCTTCGATAGCACGCTTAGCTTCTATACGCTAATAGACTAGTCGACGTAGAATAACGGAAGCGTTACTAATAGTCGGCTTATCTCGTAGCTAGTAAGCTATTATAATATTCTTTAGCTTAGCATTCTACTAACGGATCTTGCCGGAGACTCGCTTATAAGCAATCGCTATAGCTACTTTAACGATAGTAAGCTTATACTTAGGCGAGATATAGCTATATCTACGTACTCGAGTATTAGCGGTATTAGCTTCTACTATAGAAGTAGCGATTAGGTCGTCTTGTAATAGTTATTTAGCTAAAGATTAAGTGTTAGTCGGCGTAGAAATTAGCGTAGAAACAGGCTCCTTAATTAGTCTCTCGACTAGCGTAGAAGCGGCCTCTTCGACTAGCGTAGAAGTAACTAGATTACTTACTTTATAGTCTTAATTAGCTACTAGCTTATAGACGACTTTACTAGTAAGTAATTGCGTTAGACTATATAGCGCAGGTTAACTATAATAGTCGCGGAATATAGCTAGTAGCGTATAGAAGGAAGGACCTAAGCGAGGGTATAGATCGCTCTAAGAGAAGTTAAAATTAGGGTCGAGAAGGGAGGTAATTCTAGGTAGGGTATATATTAGGGTAATAGGAGCCGCTATAGTGCTAAGATGCTCTAAACAAGAGGTATTTGCTAACAAATCTAAGCTTCTAAGTACCTTCCGTACTCTCGGAAGCCCTAATATATACCTCTCTTAAGGTACGGACCTAATTCTAATTATATCGCTCTCCTCCGAGATATCCGTAACTCCTCCTATAACGGCTCTTAGAGTGATTGCACACTAGCTATTAGACCTATATAAGTCTTAGCAGCCGTCCGCCGACCTTTATATACCTCTTACTAAACTCTTTGCCTTTATATATATAGATAGGGGTTGTATAGCGACTAGTATATAATAGGTACTATACTAGCGGAGAGGAATTTAATAGAAGCCGAGGGCAGGGTTTAAGCTACTACGCTAAGCGCTCCGCATACTCCTTTACTTAACTATTAACGGCCTAGTGTAGGGTCTAATTAGCGTATTTTCGATTATATAAGCGTATACGGGTAACAGGTTAAGACTAAGGTGTTACCCGTGCTTTTATTTACTTAATCCTTCACGCACGGGTAACAGGTTGGAGTTTATTTACATAATAGTGCACTAGCGCGAGCCACTTCCGCGTGCACGGAGCGCAACTGCCAATTCAAACCTACTGCGCAAGGTGCCTATTGTTACCGGACACAGATCCAATAGATAGCGTGGCGCCCGAGTGGCCGTGGTTCTTGCGATTGGGCGCAGGAATATCAATGCGTGTCTGGGCATGCTTCCTTCGCCCAGGAACCCGAGCACAGCAGCGGAATATGTCACGTTTCTGGCCCTTTCAAGCGCAAACCATCCCTTTGAAAATTCGACGTACGAGAGCGTTCATGCAGGTTGCCCCAGTTTTGCCTGTGCGCTCATACAAATTCTGTCTGTGCACACAATTAACCGCCTTTTCTGCTCCACTTATGTTCGCCAAGCACAACCGGTATAACCTGCAAAGGGATGACGATGGTTGAGCGGGGGCTGGGTGACGCTTGTGCCGCGTCCTTCTTCACGGGCCGAATCACGAATGCAGGCCTTCTCGCGAACAGTCTCTTGGGACGAGAGACACAGATCCAGTCTTGGGTGATTATCTAATGGATGATAAGAGAGATAAGCTGAAGTATGCGCTTTTGGTTACTGATGAGTGGATTCGTTTCAGGTTTAATGGAGATGGCGAACACTGGGAACGAGGACGTGTGCCGTGCGTGTGGAGAACTGGGGCGGAATACGGTATTTCCAAGACCAGCGGATCCTTGGCACTTCGGCCAACCTCAGGCGCAATCCTCTCTCAGCCTCCGCCCTAAAACCGGCCTCAAACCGCAGCGCGCGAGCCCGCGATCGATGCATAGCAAGGCGTATCTGTCTAACTTCCACCACCGAGAGGATGGTCATACCTATGGACCATCACATCGGCGCACTTCTCTAGCCCTTGCTAGACAGACGACAAGCACATCGAAATGCTTGATTAATCCTTATCGATGACAAGTATCGAGCGCGGCTTCTTGACTGTGTCCCGTCGCTTGCAGTCGACCGGAAGCAGCTTTCACTTGGGAATATTTCTGCCACGGGAACTCGCCTTGCTTCGGCAAATCAAGCTAACCTGTCCTTTGTCCTTCGATCTTATCGTCCCGACCACTGCCCATAGAGAGAAGCCGGGCAAGCTCGGGGAGCCCGTCACATGCGCCCTACGCCTCGCTAAGATCAGACCCACCTATTTGAATGCGTTTCCGTATTGTCTTCTTGGAGAAATCTTCCTTCTGCAGCCCAGCACAAGTTCACTAGCCCCTCCTATCCTAGAGAAGGGGCAATCCGTATTGTGCCGCGTATTGATTTCGCGCAGCCACGATCGCAGCTCTTTGATCTTCTGGCATCTGATCGATCTGTGCTCTTGACAATGAAAATAGTTGTTGTAGTAGCGCTTTCTGTTCTTCGGGAACGTGAGCAAGTTGAGGTGGCGGGGCTTGCTGCGGAGGTGGCTGGTACATTGGCTGCTGTGGTGGAGTTGGTGCATATCCAGTCGGACCTTGCGGACCATATCCAGGAGGATATCCGGTCGGCATTGGAGGTGGGTAGCCTGGCGGAGGCTGCTGTGGAGGATAGCCTTGAGGTGGCATCGGTGGCAGCGCTGCCACAGGCGGCGGCGGTTGTGCTGGAGCAGGCGCGGTTGCAACTAATTGTTGAGCAATGTTGACGTCGACTAGGTCAAGCAAAAGCATGGCTTGGAAGACAGCGTATGCGAGTTGTGGCGCTTGCGTGAGTAGCGCAGTTGCCTGGGCGGGGTTACTGGCGCAAAGACCCTTGATCTGGCTGAGAAAGTCGATGAGTTGTGGTGTTGGAACGTTGTTGATCGTCCTGCTGATGGCGTCTAATGCTTGGACACCAGGTGGGAGGTCTGCACCTTGCGGAAGAGGAGGCACAGCTGAAGCATCTGGACGACCGCCATTGGGCTGATTCGTATCAAAGTGAGCTGTCGGAGGCGCGCGGTTGTTGTCCTGTGTCTGATTCTGATTGCTCGTGCCGCGGTTGTCATTGCTATAGTCCACTCGCAGCGTCCGACCTTTCAGATCGAAGTCGTTCAGGTTGCGCACAGCAGAGGCTGCGGCGTCCGTGTCTGTGTACTCCAAGAAGCCAAACCCTTTCGGCTGCCCTGTCTCCTTGTCGTATACAAGCCGGAAGTTGACGACCTGTCCCGCGCGACCAAAAATGTCCATAATTTGCTCTTCGCTGACGCCTATGCACCCATATTAGTTCCGCTTGGAATCAGGCTTTGGCATATCCGCCGCCCATACCATATGGGATATTGCCAATAAAGACAACTCGTCCGCCCTTTTCTCTTTGCGCCATTCTGGCTGTTGCGCGCTCACTGGCGCGACTGTTTCTCGGTTGAGAGCTTCACAGTATTCGGGGTCTGTATGGCTGAAATCGTGGAAGGCGAACGTGGTTGTCGGCGTCAGGCTGAATGTGAAGTCTTTGATACAGGTAAGGTGGATTGGGTTGAAGAAATGGTGTGATTGATGCTGTCGCAAGCTGCGTGGATGGAGCTATCAAAGAATGGAAGTCGCGATTTGACGCGGATGGGGTCCGTGCGCTCCCGTTCCCGGTTGAACTTTTGAATTCACTCCAAAACAACAATGTTTATAGTCCAGCTGTCACCACATCTCGCGGCGGTGAGAAGAGGTCGCACATTCGGCACAAAGCATCTTGCAGAAGGTATGATGCACCGTTGCCAATATGCAGGCCGAAATGGGGGTCCAGAAGGCCGCATGAAGACACAATATCGGGATCACTTCCACCTGCTCGGGGCAAATATTCACAAAATCTGTGGAAAAAAACTACTCCCTCGACCTACGCGCGTAACTGGTTTCGGATTGTCTCACAGCATGGTGAAAAGGCTTGTCAGCATTTCCAAGCACGATTCTGCCCTTCACCATAATGCCTGATAAGACTCGTTCAGCTACCAAACGAGACACATTGCGAAAATTCGGCATTCTCAAGTCAATGCCTTACAAACATCCCCGACGATGCGTTTTGCCTGCTCCAGCATGATTTGAAGAAAAGGACCACGATAGACTGACGGCCAAATCATGAGCATGAAGTCTGCACCCAGCTTTGTCATGCAACCAACTCCGAAAACTCGAGCCCATGCCATAGATCTCTGCTCTTGCTTCTGGTACATCAGAGAACCTCACTCCTGGTATCTATGCAACGTCAGACCGGTGAAGATATCGGCCCACCTTTCTCGCTGAGTGTGTCGACCAGCTCTCCTGCCCATATTGCTTCGCGTAAGCTTCGTTCAGCTGGGCAGGGGAGCTCTTGGCCATATGCTTGTCAAGAGGGTGTTGACAGACCAGAAAGTCTTCCGCCTTCCTTCCAAGGGCGCAGGCGTCGACGCTCTTCAAGAGACCACAGAGCCAATTCCCAAGGCATAAGCCCATGAGGTCGTGCTTAAGGTTAGTATCTGAAGCATCAATATTGGGCCATAAGTTCGTGGAGGATTGCCACGAGCTTTCTGCCCCAGGGCGTGGGCTTGCAATACCGACTTGGATCAGACTTTGGCAACACTCGCTGATTTCGCTTCAGGTGCACGCATCGACACTCAACTTCCGTAATCTGGTCATCGCCACGGGCCATTATCCATTCCCTGTAAAGGACAACTTCGTGCCACTGTCAGATGCTGCAGGCACTATAGAGGAGGTTGGACCTGGCGTCTATGGATTCGAGAAAGGAGATTTCGCGATCGCCAACTTCGACCCCACCAATCAATTCGGCCCCCAGAAAGATTGGGAAAATTCCCTCGGTGGTCCAATCGATGGGGTTTGTCGTCCATACGTTGCTCTACCAGCCAGCGCCATAGTCAAAATCCCAAAATCGACCAAGCTATCATGGCCTCAGCTTGCTGGTCTGGTTTGCACTGGAACAACCGCATGGAATGTACTCTATGGGAATCTCCCATTGAAAGCGGGTCAGACCGTTCTCTTCCAAGGAACCGGCGGTGTTTCAATGACTGGACTTATGCTTGCCAAGGCTGCCGGAGCCAAGACGATCATCACATCCTCTTCTGACGAAAAGCTGAAGTTCGCGCAAGATCTGTACGGCGCGGACTTCATCATCAACTATAAAAAGACACCGAAATAGGGCCAAGCCGCTCTCGAACTTACTAATGGCTAGGGTGTCGACTTTATCTTCGAAAATGGCGGCGCCGGCACTATTGCAGAGAGCATGAAATGTGTTGCTCGCGGGGCGCAAATCGCAGTCATTGGCTTCCTTGCAAAGGTCGATCAGAAAGACATGCCAGATGTTGCAGCATTGGTGCTGGATAAAGGCTGCATTGTACGAGGTATCAATGTTGGTGCCAAGCAATTAACGGAAGACATGGTCCAGTTGGTGTGCAGTAAGGATCTGGGTATGCCGATCGACAAAACTTTCAAGTTCGAGCTCGATGACGTTAAGGCTGCGTATAAGGACTGGAGTTGAGTAAGGCTGGGCATGTGGGTAAGATCGCTATTCAGATCCAGTAGCTAACTGCCTACTTGCCACATGTACTCTCTTTCTCCCAAAAGAACTTTTCCTTCCCTGTCTTCGATGGCGAGCTCTGGCGATACGATCGAATTCGCAACGAGGTCTGCAAAGAGCGCAGCGATCAGCTCCGCGATCAGCGCAAGCGCCTAGTCGCCCTCAAATGCTGCGGCTCAGCCGCAAGCAGCACTTGGCGCATTTGTCAGATCCTTCGTTTTGGGCTTCCTCATACCGTAAAAGACGCTTTTCTCGGGATATTGCATTGTTGCTGTGGAAGGAAAGTGAGTGGTGGGAGGTATCGCGTCACAGCAAAGAAAACCAAATTCTACTTGCCCGATCTAGAGTGGCAAATGATTCTTCGCTATTGATACCGGGCATGAACACAGCGTTCAGAATTCCTGCCCACTTTGCTTAATCTGCATACTTTCTCTCCTGCGCCGCTACCGCTCCTTTCAACTTCCAGCTTCTCGGATTCCTGATTCGCAGTCGCCAGCCTCATGCTTCAACAGTGTAGTCAAATGTTCCCCGAATAATAGCACCGTAGACTCCATTATGAGCATACGTTTGTGCAACCTAAATTGTCGTGACCACCCCCGATCGATGGTCGGCAATAGTAGTTATTATTTCTATCATGATGACAGTGTCCATGGAAAGTTCCATGCTCCTGGGGAACAGTTTCATTAGCACGGGCTCACGGAGCGAGAGATACAGCACGAGACCCTTACATCCATATCCGTACAGCAATCGCAAATGCTGGAACAATCAATGAGATATCCGAGTGCAAGCCCGACGAGGCAGAGGAGTGCAGGAATGATTCGAGATAGCATTGTAGCTAGACGTTATAGTTGTAGGTGTTTTAGGTAGTGGCTAGCAGCCGATGCAGCAATGTCAAAGAAAGGAGAAAGGTTAGAGTAGGCGAGGGCTGCTATCAAATATATACCTTCGAAAACGACACTAGTGCCTATATTTATACCTTTTCCCTTGGATAAAGTTCCGATAGTGAAATGGAACATAGAATTGCAACGTGTAGGGGAGCTTCGTTTAATAATAGCTAGCTAGCCTAGCCCTACGAAAGACTCGGAAAGCCACAGCCACAGGCAACAGGACAGGGCAAACCCATACGCAAAGGTGTACACCCCGATTAAGCGAGATAACGGACTAGGGTAATCCCTAAAAACGGGATCTAACTAGTTAAAGCTAGCGTACTACCTAGAGGAATTATCCGCACCTTCAAAAAGTTCACTTCTAACGTTTTTAGGCTAGCTGCCGCTTACGCAGATTACCCTCGTCCGCTATCTCGCCAGCACACAGGCTTCAGCCAGCAACTTCTCCAAATCTTCTCCACTACAGTACCAGTACTCTACCAAGTACAGTACCAGCATACTCTACCAAGTAGGGAGGAGGAGAGATCTGATAACAATATATAGACCTACGTAAGCTCCCAGGGTCTGATTGGAGACAGGTCCGCTAATGCCAAGCCTGACAGACGCAGAATATTCGTTTCGCACTCTAACCGTACTCCCGCAACAAATGCCGTCAAGGCCGCCGCATCTCTACCGGTGATGTCGAATCCCTTGAGATCATAACCGACGAATCACTTCTTCATCCCGCGAACGTCCGCCATGGTCTCGGTCAGAATCCTGTGGAAGAGCTCAGGAAAAACGCCAACTTTTGAAAGCGCGCTGTGCCGCACAGCGTGAAAGTCACCAGAGTCATTCTTTCCGGGATATATGGTGAAGACGAGACCACGGTCAGAGAAGAGCTTGCAGCATTTTTTGGACCTAGAGGATCCTCTGCCTGGATGGATTGATGATAAGGTTGATTCTACTTGTGCTGGGACCGCATTGGAGCGCTGTTTCGAGCGAGATTATCAGCCAGAGCACTTCACTTGAGCAGCCGAGAGTCGATCTCTGGTGAAGTCTCCTTCGTATAGCGTTATGGCAAGTCGGCGAGATGTCATGTCGAGGTTCTGAACGTAAGCCAAGCTTTTGCAGGGGTTAAATGAACAAAGAGATCTTTATAGATCGGGCCAATGCACAGACGCTGAGCATCTCTGAAATGCTTTGGCACCCACTAACTTCTCCATATCACTGCTTCTCCTCAACAAAGAAATACTCGTCATTGTTTCGCCGAAAATGCCCAACATCCGGAATCGTCACAAATCCGACGCCTCGACGAGCGGGTGCGAACACTTTAGAATATACCCTGACGGCATCGGAAAGTAACAGCCAAAGCCTGATCAAGGATCCAGGATACGATGCTCCAAGCCACCGTTCCACGTGGCTAATCATCAACAACACCTGTGATCCAGATAGGAGATTCGCTGTCCGGTCCGGACTCCTTCACAAAAAATATCACGAAAAATTGCCGCACGCGCAAGAACGCGTCAATGGCAGCGAACGGGCATGCAAAGAGTGAATACCAGCTCTTACAGTATGTTGTGGCTCCCGAAAAGCAGTAGCATAATTGAGGACCAACTTGTACTAAAAAAATTCCCGGATACAGTAGACGCAATTCCCAAGGACCGGTCGATGGCTCAGCGGATGCGGACACGATACGACATGAGCATGTTCCTGATCCGGGACCCCCAGATGACGACGCTACGGAGAGCGATCTCTGTCTTGAAGAATATGAGCTCAAGCGCGTGGAATCTGAACCCATTGGTGCCGCGAAGATTGAATCTATTACTGCAGTATGGACACCAACGACCAAACGCTTGTTCGTACTTGGGTGAGTCGAAGGAAGAAAGAAATACCCCCTAAATCTGCTCTTCTGCTAATTCACGAAATCCCTCTAGCCAAGCAATCTTCGTCGTCATGTTGTAAGTCTTCGCCACCACCTCATCCACAAAAAAAATTCCAAACAACCCACTAATATAAATCCCCCCCGTCCCAGCTCCTTCGCCAGCACAACAACCCACTCCTACGTCTCCTACGCCCTCTCCGACTTCAAATCCCTCTCAAAACAAGGAAGTCTCGACGTAACCGCGCAAATCATCTCCATGTCCCTCAAACTCCCGGTAGCAAAACTCTCCGACGTGCTCGGTCGGGCCGAAGCCTACTGCATCCTCACAGTCTTCGACATGCTCTCCGAAATCTTCCGGGCCGCGGCACCATCCTTCACAGTTTTCGGGATCGGATGGATGTTTTACGTCGCTGGCCACGGAGGTTTCAGCGTGCTGAATATGATTCTGATTTCTGATGTGACGAGTATGAGGATTCGGGCGTTGGCGGGGAGTGCTTTGTACAGTCCGTTTTTGGTGACGCCGTGGATTTCGGGGCAGTTGGTGGAGAAGGTGGTGGATAAGGAAGGGGGTGGGATGGGATGGAGGTGGGGGTATGGGATGTTTACGATGATAATACCGCTGGGGGCGGCGCCGTTGATTGGGGTTTTGTTTTATTTGCAGAGGAAAGCTGTGAGGAAAGGGTTGGCTGTGACGAAGAGGATGACGTTTAAGGATTTTGCGCAGCAGACGGATTTGGTGGGCTTGATTTTGCTTTGTGGGGGGTTTGCGATGGTGTTGTTGCCGATTGCGAGGTTGAATTCGACGGATGGTGGTGGGAGTTGGAGGGGGCCGTGGGTGATTGCTTTGATTGCTACGGGGACTTGCATGATTATTTGGTTTGTCGGGCATGAGCGGTATCATGCGAAGTATCCGGTTGTGCCGTTGAGGTACTTCAAGCAGACGGCCATTGTCTTCACTTGGCTTCTGAGCATGTTCGACAGCGTGGCGTTTGGGGCGACGCATACTTACCTCTTTCCATGGTCGGTGGCGGCGCACAACTACTCGGCGAAGAAGGCACTATACCTGAGCTACACCAACGGCGTGACGACTTGCCTGCTCGGAATGCTGGCTGGTGTGGTCATGTACAAAATGCGATCCTACAAGCGGATGGCCATCATCGCTTCCTTTGTTCGGCTGATAGGGTACGCTCTGATGACCAGACTCCGGACCAAGGATAGCAGCGACTTCGAGCTCTTTCTGGTGCAGATGATCCAGGGTATTGGGACCGGTATCATCGAATCAACGAGCTTCGTGGCCGCGCAGATTGTAGTGCCGCATTCAGAGCTCGCCCAAGTCACAGCTTTGAGTTCGTTGGGCTCGCATTTGGGAGATGCTATAGGTGCTGCCATTGCAGGCGGTATATACACAAGCAGGATGAAAGGTCGACTGCGCGCTCATCTTGGTCCTGGAGCGAGCGCAGACGAGATTGACGGTATTTATGATTCGATACTGGGCCGGGAACTTCCAGACTGGGGCACGCCGAAGAGAATAGCTGTAGCTGATGCGGTACGTCTTGTCTCCTTGAGGAATCTTGCATTTGCTGACAAGTCTGCAGTATTCCGAGATTATGGGATACGTGACGATCGTCGGCCTCGTAGTTTCCGTCCCGATCATTGCGTTCGCATTTCTCATACCTGACAACCGGCTTGGGTCAGTATTTAAACCTCCTACTCTGAAGTACTCACTAACAAAACCCCCCAGTGACGGAAAAAACCTCACCGCAGAATCCAAATCCGAAGGCCTAGACAGCGTGCCCCTACGTCCGGCCAAAGTCACTCAATGAAGTACTGTACGCTGTACATAACGGCCCCTAGCCGAACAACACCTATCTTTTTTTTCTACTACTATAGATAGCAACCTGAAACCAAAAGTTCCAAGTTGACACACCCCGGAGATTATCTCCCATGCACCTAAGCACGAATTCGGGAGCTTGGCCGATGCTTGTACATGCTCGCTTGTGCTGGTGTGAAGTTAAACTTTCAGCACGTGAACACATTTTCGAGAGCTGATTGCATACATCGCGTTTTGGTGACTAGGATGTATTTCAAAATCGAGGAAATCGTCCGGTCCGGAGACGTGGTAGAGAAAAGAAATAGAGGGGATTGTCAGTGTCAGTGCAGAAGCGGGATTTCCTTTAGATGTTAAGTCCAGGCCGAGGTTCCAGTTCGTGACGAGATAACAGGTAGGTTGAAACATGTACAAAGGTATTCATTGTGTATGCTTACTGTTTTAACTTTTCCCTGAAGCAGATTCACTCCCTCAAAATGCTATACCACACCCTCCTCCCCCTCCTGCTCTTGACCTTATCGGCAACCACATCCCCCCTCCCCACCCTCACCCCCCGAACAACCTGCTACTCAGGTTTCTACATCATCGTAGCCCGCGGCAGCAACGAAGCAGCCGGTGAAGGCGAACCAGGAAAAGTCGCAACAATGATCGAAGCCCGCGTCCCGAATTCCGGTTCCGTGGCTGTAGACTATCCCGCGAAAATTATTGACTTGAGTGGAAGTTATCCTGTTTCTGTGATTAAAGGGATAAATGACACGAAGACGAAGATTCAGGAGTATGTTGAGGAGTGTGGAGAGGATGCGAGGATTGTTTTGCTTGGGTATAGTCAAGGGTACGTAAGGAAGGAAGAGATTTTTGGGGGAATGGGTTTGAGTGTGTGGATCGAATTGGGCTAATAAGGTTTTTTTTTCGTAGGGGAAATGTCATGACGGATGTTCTGGCTGGTGGTGTTGGTAAGCCTGCTCCATTGGCGGAGGAGTATAGGAACAACAGTAAGTCGTTGTCTTCCGCACTTCTGTTTGATTGATTGAGCTGACGTTCCGTTCGTTGCAGTCAAAGGCGTCGCAGTCTTCGGAGACCCGACTTTCACAGCAAAACAATCATTCGACGCGGGAACTTCCACCAAAGACGGAATCTTCGCCAGACGCGGATCGAGTTTGACGTTGCTGAATACTTACGCTTCTGTGCTTCAAAGCTATTGTGATGCGAATGATTTCTTTTGTGCGAGTGGGGGTAGTTTGGATGTGCATTATGCTGAGGTTGATAATCATGCGCAGGCGGCGACGGATTTTATTGCTAGCAAGGCGTAGATAGAGTTGGAGCATATACAGGACAGAACGAGATTTTCTGAGAATCTGGCTTGGGTGTTCAATTCGTCTGGCTTTTGGCTTCCGATCATGTTGCTGCGAAGGGGATCCGGCTTGTGATTTGGGAGGTGAATGACCACGGGAGCTCATCGACAATCCTGCGAAGTTTCCTTGGGATGTCCGGCACGCTAATTCTAATGTATAATCGGCCCAGCTCGCTCATGATTTCGGATCCCAAGAGTGTCGAATAGTGCATTCCATATTCCGAAGAGCCCAGCCTTGAATATATGGACAACATCGGCTTCCATCCGCTATGTGGGTCCAGGGAGACTTGGAGATCAGCTACATGTGTGATGGTCGATCGGACTTTGACGTGCTATGGAAGCTTGGATCTAGATTAGCCGTCTCAATCGCTGCCTTCGTCACCACTGTCACCGAAATCCACCAATCCCTTTGGCAGACGTCTAGCAGGCTTTGGCTCATCCTCTTCTGCCGCTTCTCCGCCATCCTCATCCTCACTGACGTCGACAGTCTTCTTGGGCTTACCACGCTTCGGCCTAGTCTTATTCTCCTCATCGCTCTTGCCCCATCTGTCGGCGAAGTCTTGTGTTGCCTCCAGCTCAGCGGCAAGCTCGCGAGCTTCCTTGATCTGGCTGGCCTTCTCGTTACTGTACCGTCCTGTCATTCCAGCATCGTCCAACAATCCCTTCAGATGCTTGATCTTCTCCTTGTCTGTCGAGCACTTGGCGAGCTCTTTCCCCCAGACCTTCCTAATGCCACACTTCACCAGCCAGCCTTGCAATCGCTTGATCTCTTCTTGATCTGGGGACAGAGTGCTCTCCGCCTTCGCCTTCTTGGCTGCTTTCGGCTTTGCTGCCACCTTTGACGTGGTCTTTGATTTGGGTTCTGCCGATTTCTTCTGGCGCTTCTTTTTCGGAGGCTCATCGATCAGAGAGGAGAGATCGCTCTCGTCGTCTTCCAGCGCAGGCGCCTTGCCATTGGCCGCCGGTGCGTCCTCTTCTGTCTTGGGAGGTTCTGATAGCTCGCTCTCGCTCTTTGCTGGCTTGTCCGCAGGCTTTGCCGTTTCTTCCTCATCGCTCACAGCCTCGATCTTGTGCGACGACTCTTTGGCCGGCGTGCTCTTCTCAATGTCAACATCAGATGCCCCACTATCCACAACTTCATCGCTTGCTGCCTTCTTGGCCGGCTTTCCCTTGGCAGGTGCCCGCTTCTTCGGCTTCGGCTTCTCTTCCTCTTCGAAGTCATTCTCATCGCTGTCCTGCTTCTTCGGCTTCTTGGCTGGTTTCTCCTCAAACTCGTCGCTGTCGTCGATTACCGCATCTGATATTTCTTCCTCTGAATCCTCCTTGCGCGCCTTCTTCCGAGGCTTCTTGGCTGTCTCGTTAGATTTGCGCTTTGTGCCTGCCTTCGCTGCAGGCTTCGCTTTGGGTTTGGAAGCAGGCTTCTTGGGCTTTTCTGGAGATGTTGCTTCTCCATTGAATACGGCTTGAACGATGTCCTTGCTCCGTGCCTTCCAATGGGCATTGTTGCTAAGGAATTCGTCATCGAGTCCCAACTCGTTCTCGGCTCCTCGACGCGCTCTGTTCACGGTAACATTGTCGGGATCTGTTTCTAGCAGATGATGTGCGACGCGTCGAATGGCCTTCTCGATTTCAGTCTTGGCAGGGATGTTTGACGGCATAGTGATTGGCAAGCTTAGATGTCAGGAGCGGTGGAGAGACGCGTTCTGTCGCGAATCAGCAATAATGGCCTTGACTGCCCTCGAGCTCTCCCGTGCGAGTGCCAGTGTGGATCGGCCCGCGGCTCGCATTCACCGACAGTCCGTGCCCGCGAAACTCCGCGCCACAAACTCTGTTCGACTCAAGGTTCTTTTTGACGTAGCGGCGCCATGTGGCAGTCGATGGGCCATCTGATGATTGTGCTCGTTGGTGTAGTCCAGTCCAGCTGCTCGTGTCGTGTCGCGTGTTGTGCCATCATCTGAATAGTTGAATGTTCCGCTCCGTGCAGCGCACGACTCGTCACCGAGAAGGTCTGATATCATCCGACAGTCACGGCTGCGACAACATCCAAGCACACCCCTGCACCGAAAGCGCTCGAACAAAATCTGTCTCAATCTTGCTTCCACTGTTCCACTCGCGCACCACCGCCACCGCCACCGCCTTTTGCAGCATCATCATATCGATATTCTAATCGATAAGCAGCAGCACTTCAGCTGGCCGCAAGCACTGATTCTTCGCATCAAACACCAACAAACCCTTCCCCCACAGCCCGGATTCCGTGAGGCTCCACACGAGGCTGCGACTGCCATCACAGGCACATCCCACCTTCCGCTCCACGGCCAAGGTGACGACGTTTCAACTCCACGTGCGTGCACAAACTTCGCTTCCTCACCCTTTATCGCTGTTTGCAACACGATCCTGGAGCCGCCGCCGACCTCAGCCGTCACACTCCCGCCCCCGAACCTGCAACTACAAAGCCACTCTGCAAACTTCTCGCTCTTGAACCTTCATTGTAAGTTTCTCGCCTTTCACTTCACCTACGCCGCAATCACATGTTACACGCCCGCGCCAAGCACCTGCGTCATCCACCGAAGTCATCATGAGCCACCTTCTCAAGACTTCGACCTCGAAAGCCATGCAGAATCAAATCGCCGCTGCTCGAGCTACCGCGCACTCTGCAAACATGGCAATCAAAGGTGGCGAGCAGGCCAACCCCGATATATCTTCTCCCAACAAGGAATCACACAATGTGCTAACACCCTCCCCTGCAGCATCATTCGGCACCGCCGCCATGCCTGCCTTTGACGAAACTCCCTCGCCAAAGGGGCGCCTGCTTCTCGTCTCCAACCGCCTTCCCATCACCATCAAGCGGTCCGATGACGCTCACTACGACTTTTCCATGTCTTCAGGCGGTCTGGTAGCTGGGCTATCGGGTCTTGCCAAGACTACCAAGTTCCAGTGGTATGGCTGGCCGGGGGTGCAGGTTCCCGAAAATGAGGTCGACCATGTCAAGGGTCGTCTCTTCGACGAGTACAGCGCTGTTCCAATCTTCATGGAGGATGAGCTTTCCGACCGCCACTACAACGGCTTCTCAAATTCCATCCTCTGGCCTCTCTTCCATTACCATCCTGGGGAGATTACTTTCGACGAGTCTGCTTGGGATGGCTACGTCGAGGCAAACCGACTCTTCGCCAAGGAGATTGCCAAAGACGTCCAAGACAACGATCTGATCTGGGTTCACGATTACCACCTGATGCTTCTGCCGGCCATGCTCCGCGAAGAGATCAACGCCCAAGGCGAGAACAAGAAGAAGAATGTCAAGTTCGGCTTCTTCTTGCATACACCTTTTCCCTCCTCCGAAATCTACCGAATTTTGCCCGTCCGCAACGAGATTCTTCAGGGCGTCCTTCACTGCGATCTCATCGGCTTTCACACCTACGACTACGCACGCCACTTCTTGTCATCTTGCGCACGCATTCTTGGTCTCGCCACCACACCAAATGGCGTCGAGTTCCAGGGCAAGCTCATCACCGTTGGCGCATTCCCCATCGGTATTGACCCAGAGAAATTTGTCCAAGGTCTGCAGAAAGATACCGTCATCAACCGCATCGAGACTCTCAAGAAGAAGTTCGATGGCGTCAAGATTATTGTTGGCGTGGATCGTCTCGACTACATCAAGGGCGTGCCACAGAAATTGCACGCACTCGAAGTCTTCCTTACTGAGCATCCAGAATGGATCGGCAAGGTGGTGCTTGTACAAGTAGCGGTCCCGTCAAGACAGGACGTTGAGGAGTACCAGAACCTGCGAGCTGTCGTCAATGAGCTGGTCGGCCGCATCAATGGCAAGTTCGGCACCATCGAGTTCATGCCAATTCACTTTATGCACAAATCCGTCAGCTTCGATGAGTTGACGGCTCTCTACTCCATCTCCGACGTCTGTCTGGTCAGCTCAACTCGCGACGGTATGAATCTCGTTTCCTACGAGTACATCGCGTGCCAAGAAGAACGACACGGCGCTCTGATCCTGTCCGAATTTACTGGCGCGGCACAGTCTCTGAACGGCGCTCTCGTTGTCAACCCGTGGAACACAGAAGAACTTGCAGACGCGATCCACGATGCAGTTACCATGGGCGAAGAACAGCGAGCCACCAATTACCAGAAGCTAGCCAAATACGTCAACAAGTACACTTCTGCCTGGTGGGGCGAGAGCTTCGTGTCAGAACTCACTCGGATCAGTGAGCAAGCAGAGAAGAAGTTGAAAGTCCGCCGACAGAGCCTGATGGACCCAGCCGGAACAGCCAACGAAACAGACCTGCCTGGAGACCGGAGAGATTCCAGTCGACCTCAATCCGCAGCCGCCAATGGTGATGACCACAAGGCGGCGTCGGAGCAGCAGAGCGAACTGGATAAGTAAGAACCATCCTCAAATTCCTGGCGGCTAGCGATACTCGGGGTGGAGTGATATCATAACGAATGACTGACCTTTCTTTCTTGAATAGGGAAGAAGATGGGGATGAAGAGGGACTCGTCATGCCGGTGCGCTCTCGAAGCAATACGCTCCCCAGACTTCAGTGATTGGAGGATGGATAGAGAGAGACCGATCGGGCCATTTGCATTGTCAAGATACCATAGAAGCGATTGAGCATTGGGACCACATTCACGTCCCTTATGCAGCGGGGCATGTGTACCAGATAGGGGAACACTGCGTCAACAATATATAGAAGACCAGCTCATCACGAGCTTCAAGGATGAGGTGTACTCTCAACCACACTTCTGCCGAAACTTTCTTGAACAATACTATCATCTAACCGCGTTTCATAGAATGCATAAGGTACACTGATGTCGTCCGCTCATTGGTGCGAAGTATAGGTAGGCTTGGTCTGTATGGCACCTTCCGTTGTCGAGGTGGCTTACCTCAAACAGCAGAGCTGTCGACCGCATCCAAGCTTCTCTGACATCCGATCACTTTGGACTTTCCCCAATCGCGGGAACTTAGAAGTAAGTAAGACGCTCAGCTGAGAGTTAAAGCTCTTCAACACAACTCCCGAAGATTCCTCACAAGCGTCAGGCAAATCTCCTGAATGAAATTCGCTAGAAATTTTCCGTTTTAACAACCACGACTTCACTCCCACCCCAATCCATCCACCCCCCATCCCAATTCCCCATCCCCATTAAAGCCAACAACCCATCCCCCCCGTAATATTCTCATAAGACAAACACTTCCACCTGCCCCCCCATTTTCCCAAACCTCATAAACCCAATCACCTCCCTCAAAACCCCCGGATGCTCCCCCGCAGTGCGAAGATCAATAAACGCCTCCGCATAAGGTTTCGTACGGCAAGGGAATTTTCACCTCGATGGAGTGGATCGCGCCCTGCCATTCGGGACATGTACGCACGACTTCGGCACAGGCGTTCATGAAGCCGGTGAAATTCATGCGTTCCAGACAGACCGGGGATGTGATTGTTGCGGTGAAGTTTTCGAAGGAGATGATGTCGGTGTATTTTGGGTCGTTGGGGTCGAAGTGTTTCGTGGAGAGTCCCGAGCAGATGGTGTGGATGATTTTGGTGATTGCGGTTGAGTCTTCTTCTGGGTTTTGATGGGGGGAGGAGGGGGGAGGGAGGTTGGGGGGATGGTTTGAGAGTTGCATTCTTTTTTTTTTCTTTTTTCGATGCTTGAGGTGAGGTCTGTTTGTTCGATTTTTGCTAGAAGTACAAAGCTATGCCGAATGTGTACGGCGTATGCTCGCATGTTTTGCGGCTGATTCCGGACAATCCAGGAGGGGGCCTTGGCGTCAGGTACGGCTGAGGTACGGTCGGAAATAACGGTGTTAGCGAGTTGGCCAGAGGAATAATTCTCCTTAGAGATCGTGTCGCTAGGGATATGGTGAATACTGTAACAGGAGCAGGATTGATCTTGAGGTAGAAGCCGGACCTTTTACTCGAGCCCAGGAAGTCCGTCCAAGATTCTTGAGATCCTTCCGGTGTAGATGTCGCTGCATTTGCGCGACCTTCTTTCGCACGTTATGACCGGTCGAGAACTGCTCGTTATAAGGTGAGGTGAGGTGAGGAACCATGGACCTGCTGCATGTGAAAGTACCATCCCACTCGGCCCGTTAATTCTCGGGAAGGCCGAAGCCGAAGCCGACCTTATTCTCTTTCCACGCGCCTATCGCGAGTCTCTTTCTGCCCTGAATACACAACAAAAAGACAAGTCGCGTCGTCTGCTCGAGATATCGACACATCACTACCATTCCAAGCGCAGCGACGTGTGCAGTGTCGGCTGAAGAAGGCACACAGCCATCACCCGATGTGATGGAGCCTTTACAGAACACACTCGCCGGCCTCGACTATACCAAATGTTCCACCGATGAGCTGAAGAAGTTTTTCGCGCAGAGGAAGAGCAGCAGAAGAACCCTCCCACCACCATCTGCGCGCTACCAGCTGATCTGGGAATTGGAGCGACTCGATTGCGCCGCCACGTTCCGATTTGAGGACATGGCCCCAGAGCTCCGCCTCCATGTGTACGAAGAGCTGTTCGATTTGTCTCCCAATATGGCTAGGAAACCAAACACTCAAATTCTTCGAAGCTGCAAGATGGTATATCGAGAGGGCAAACCAATATTGGATCAGATCATGAACGGCATCACACTCGTCCGCATCAAAGCGCTGAGCACCGTTGCAAGGCCGGGTGTTACATCGGTGCAGATCAATAGGGACCTCCCATTGCCAGAGCCGCGATTGGATCGACCACTCCACGAACACTTGAGCAGATGGCCAGCGAGCCTCGAAGCAGAAGAGAATGTGCTCATCCAAATAACGCTGCCGGAATTTTCTATGTACCATCTGCAAGGACTGGACTATCTTAGCAGCCAGCTGTACTTGCTCGCCACGAGACTTGGTCCATCGAAAACGCGTAAGGTTGTGGTTCACATCCGAAACGCGAATCCCACGTTCTTGCTGGATTTCTTTCTGTGGCCGCTCTCAAGGCTTGCCACAAATGCGAATCTAGTCATCAGTGGAGTGTCACAAGAATTTGAGCGAACGTTCCGAGAAGAGCACATGTCTATTGACATCGTCCCGACTGTTCTGCGAAGCTGTGTACAGCAGCGCGATGCGCTGAGCAAGCTCGAGGAAGAGCTGTCGGGTAAAGGAGTTTCGAAGAGCGTCATGCTTACCAAGCTCCAGCCCCGGCTCGCTCTCATTATGTCTGAATTCGACATGATTGGAGTCTGGTGTAACAGTTACGAACAGCGTCTCTCATACAATCTTCTCGAATTCCGCCAGGATTTTGCTGAAGCCCGGCGCGAGGCGTTGGGCAGCGAGTCATCTCAATGATGGCAGCATCGCAAGCTGGGAGAGACATGGTCCATGACATACTGAGCAAGAAGAAAGTTGGGGAGACGAGGCTGGATTTATCGTCCGGTCTGGGACAAGAGCGCAATCGGATGCGGTGGTCTTATCGGCATGCTGGGAGCAGCGTTCATCAGAGGCCATCCTGCCACTGCCCGAGAGCTTCATCGTCTTCTGGAAAGCCGTGTTCGTGGAGGCGCCGTAAAGTTTTGATAGGTTTGCGCATGGAGGAAGCAAGAGCCAAGCAGCAGCGGCAAACATCGCTCAACAGAGTCTAATCACTCTCCAAGATCATGTGCGAGGCACCGAATGATCAGTGTAGATATGATTTCACAAGACTTCGTCTGCAGGTGCCACGTCCTTCACAGCAAATGTTGGATTTGAGGCTGGTGAAGATGGGTTCTTGAAAGTATCGTCGATGACATGAGATTCCGGCTCATCTCCGGCCGTTCATCCTTTGTGCAACCAGGCTGAAGATGGCCACGGACGACATGAATAGCACCAAATTGTAGAACTGTTCCGCAGTAAGCTCTGCACGTAAAGCATTTCGGGAGATGTCTTACGGCATTTCTTGAGTAGGCGCTTTCCTCGGCTTCTGTACGCGCCTCTACGAAGAGTCGGCGGAGGTTTGGTAGGTTTGAGGGCTGCCAAGTAGTCAGAGTCGGTCCGGATACAGTGGGCGCTGTGCAGCATACCATTGTGACGAGAATCTCACGGCCTCATTGGGATCATTGAAGGTGTTGTCCAAGTGAGACAAGAAAGACGCGTGAAGTAAGCTCCTCCAAGAAAGGTCTTGGCAAGAGCAGCCAGGGTCGAACTCTGAAGTTCAAGCCAGCTTCGCTTCCATAAGTTGAACTCCATTATTGCCAGGCATCGCTGTTTCTACGCATAACGACAACCAGGCATCGCTGGTTCTACGCATAACGACAACATCACGACTTGACTTCTTCCTGGCATCTTGCGATACCGTCCTGAAGCATAGACCTTGCATGACTGGCCGACAACCAGCACTTGCCTCGCGAAACCCCGCCGACAGCTGACAATAGCCGGACGCCCTTTGTATGGGCGCATACCAGTAATCACCACACCCACGCTCGAACTAGAGCACGTCAAATATGGCAGTAAACAGGCTGCGGAGTGCGCTGGGCTCGGCACGGAAAGGAGAGACATTCGAGCTGCGCTCCGGTCTGGTCTCACAATATGCCTGGGAAAGAAAGGAGTCCATACAAAAGACCATAATGTCCATGACATTAGGGAAGGATGTATCATCACTATTTCCTGATGTTCTGAAGAACATTGCGACACCAGATCTGGATCAGAAAAAGCTTGTGTACCTTTATCTCATGAACTATGCAAAGTCGCATCCGGACTTGTGTATATTGGCGGTAAACACTTTTGTGCAGGATTCAGAGGATCCGAACCCGCTTGTTCGAGCACTCGCCATACGAACGATGGGATGCATCAGAGTCGATAAGATGGTTGACTACATGGAGGAACCGCTACGAAAAACGCTGAAGGATGAATCCCCATACGTGCGGAAGACTGCTGCACTGTGCGTGGCCAAGCTGTTTGACCTGAATCCCTCCCTCTGCATCGAGAATGGCTTCCTAGAGACGCTGCAAGAGATGGTCGCAGATAGCAATCCTATGGTGGTTGCGAATTCGGTGCAGGCGCTTTCGGAAATCGACGAGGCTGCACCGGAAACAAGAGCGCTGGTTGTGACGAGCCAGATGCTGAAGAAGCTGTTACTGGCCTTGAACGAATGTACGGAGTGGGGTCGCATAACGATAATGACCACGTTAGCGAATTACAGGCCGCAGGACACGAAAGAGGCAGAGCACATTTGCGAGCGAGTGATACCGCAGTTCCAGCACGTCAACCCATCTGTGGTCTTGGCAGCTGTCAAGGTTGTGTTTCTGCATATGCAACACGTGGAGAAGGCCTCACTTCACGCCACATATCTGAAGAAGATGTCGCCGCCGCTTGTGACTCTAATCTCAAGTCCTCCAGAAGTGCAATATGTCGCGTTGCGAAATATTGATTTGCTGTTGCAGAAGCAACCGGGGATCCTCGACAAGGAGATGCGAGTATTCTTTTGCAAGTACAACGACCCTCCATACCTCAAAGTGCAGAAGCTGGAAATCATGGTCCGGATAGCAAATTCGCAGAATGCCGACCAATTGCTTGCGGAATTGAAGGAATATGCCATGGAAGTGGACGTTGACTTTGTGCGAAAAGCGGTTCGCGCCATCGCTCAAGTCGCCATCAAGATCGAAGAATGCGCAGAGAAGGCAGTGAACGTCTTATTGGAGCTCATCAACATGAAGGTGGGATACGTGGTGCAAGAAGTCATCGTGGTCATCAAGGACATTTTCCGGAAATACCCAGGATATGAAGGCATAATACCAACCCTTTGTCAATGCATTGATGATCTGGATGATTCGAATGCGCGAGGCAGCTTAATTTGGATCGTCGGCGAGTACGCGGAGAAGATCTCGAATGCTGGAGATATCCTGGCAGGATTTGTGGAAGACTTCAACACGGAGTTCACACAGGTAAGTCTGCAGTTTGTGAATGGCTTATACAAAGTGCTGACCCTCTTCAGACGCAACTTCAGATCCTCACAGCAGTCGTGAAGCTGTTCTTGAAGAAGCCCGATCAATCTCAAGGGCTTGTCCAGAAGGTGCTTCAGGCTGCGACTGCTGAGAACGATAACCCTGATGTTCGAGATCGAGCATACGTCTACTGGCGATTACTTTCTTCTGACCCTCAAATCGCCAAGAATATCGTGCTTTCCGCCCGACCGCAAATCACCTCAACCATCCCGATGCTACCAGCCCCCTTGTTAGAACAACTTCTTCCCAACCTTGCAACATTATCATCCGTGTATCACAAACCACCAAGAGCATTCCTTGGCGCTGGCCGGAGTTCAGCACTGCAAGAAGCAGCTATCGAAGAAGCGAAGCAAGAAGCCCGCGACAATCCGATTGCTGCTGCTGCAGTTTCTGCGGCCATGGCCGGGAAATCAGCACCGCAAGCACAGAACAACGCCGAGAATCTGCTTGATATCGATTTCGACGGCGCGGCTCCTGCGTCTATGCAAAAAGCACCCGCCATGGGTTCTTCTGGCCTTGAAGGTCTTGCCGGGACACCGCAGAGAGTGGCCAGCCCGATGCAAGCAGGACCATCCGGAGGCTTGGAAGATCTGATGGGTCTTGGTGGCGATGCACCAGCGCCCTCGAGCAGTGGCGGCAATGCCGATCTAATGAATGGATTCGCCGACCTCAGCATGACCAGCGGGTCTGCACCTGCACAGCCGCAGATGAATGGTGGTGGGCAGAAGAAGACGAACGAGGATCTACTCGGATTATTCTGAGGACCAACATTCCAAAGTCGAAGCTTCTACGTTGGGAAATATCACAAGATGGCCATACTCCAGCATGGCGGTCCAGGCCACGACTCCGCGAATATCCTACCCGACCCGCCCAGTTCTGCGCCATCCTCACTCTCGTCAGCGTGCCAGCATGCACGCACCATACAGGTCAATAGCCAAGACGTTGATTCACTCCATTGTCGGGGACAGGTCGATTCAACATGCCCTCCGTCATCTCCATCTCCTCGAAGAGTTCAGCTTGCCGGTAATGTCTGACGAAACGTCTTGTTGGTGGAGAGGTGGTCGCAGGTGATTCCGGATCGATCATTCGTGCTGTGCAATCAGCTGTTAGTCTTGATCATCGAAGGGAGAGAGGGTGCTTACATCGACGACGGTTTTTACTACAGGCAAGCCAGATAGTGCCAAGACTGGCAACCACGGCAAGAATACCGAATGCGAACGTTAATTTCGAGTTGAGATCCATGGTCGTGTTGAAATTTCTTGTCGGTATCTGACTTCTACTTGAGGAGATGTGAGGTGGAACGGGGAGAAGGGCATCGTTTTGTACTGGCAAGGCGATGTCCTACAAGTCTGTAAATCGGGGTTTAACTTCGTGCCTGCCGACGAGCTGGTGTAGGCCGCAGCTGCTGCAGGTGGGCGAAAGCTCCGAGGTCCGCTCATTGGTTTATTCATGATTGATGGATTTGATGGGGCTTAATCAATATTGAAGATCTCCAAGCTTGAACTTGATTCCATCATGAATGTGACGTCCTTCCCGAGTCCTGTCACAATGTCTTCCAACCACATCCTCATCATCGGCGCAGGCTCTCTGGGTGCCTTCTTCGCATCTCGCTTCGCAAGCACAGGAGCAAAAGTTTCAGTACTATGCCGCTCAAACTTCCAAGCAGTACAAGCCTCAGGCCTCAAAGTCACAAGCTCAACATTCCCCGAACAAACCATTCAACCAACCTACACATTCTCCAGCCGCCATCACGCCCTAGAATCCAAACACAAAGATAGAATCTCCTGGACCTACATCTTCATCGCCACAAAAGTCATCCCCGAAGCAGGCGACCCAAGCGTACTCCTCGAAGGCCTCCTCGACGAAACCTCAACCATAGTCCTGATCCAAAACGGCCTGGACATAGAAGAACCCTACCGGCAACGATTCCCTCAAACCCCAATCATCAGCGCCGTAACCCGAGCCTCGTGCGCAAAAATCTCTCCCACACACATCCAACATAAAAATTGGACCCGAACAACACTCGGCCCTTACGCACCCGATGGCGAGAAGAAGCACGCAGAACAACGAACCTCCGAGTTCGCAAAACTTTTACAAAATTCCGGGATCCCGGATGTAGATCTCCTCGACCACACCGGCATGCAATTCGCCCGCTGGCACAAAACCGGGATCAACGCCGCCATGAATCCCACCTCCTGTTTGTGTTTGGGTCCGACCAACCAAACCATGTCTTTAGATCCCGAAATCTATATCCATCAGACAAACGTCATGCGGGAAATTCTCACCGCCGCAGAGAAGTGCTTGGGACAGCCTGTCCCGCGGGATTTGAATTTGCCGGATGTGGATTGGGTGTTTTTGAATGCGAGGGAGGATGGGAGTGGGAGTCAACCGAGTATGTGGAGTGATTGGGAAGCTGGGAGGGGGGTGGAGGTGGAGGTTATTCTGGGGAATGCGGTGAGGAGGGGGAGGGAGGTGGGGGTTGAGATGCCGAGGACGCAGACGCTTTATGCGTTGTTGAGGATGGCGGTGGAGATGAGGGATCGGGGCAATGGGAATTGAAGCGTTACATTATTATTATAATTCTATCATTCGATTACTACCCGAAACCGCCACGGCATACAAATGCCATGACTTCACGAACCCATGTAAAGTTGCCCTGAGACAAATCGATGGTACGCTCGAGAACTTCTCTTCGCTGCCTATTGGAGAGGAAAGCGGTGTTGTGGCTACTGACATCTGAGCCGTCGTGTCCTCCAGGCCTAGGATATCCACTCAGTTCGTCGGGAACATAAAGGGTTCTATTGTCGAGTCGAAGATGATGGATCGTCGCGAAACCCTTCCGGATTACGTCGTAAGGCCTGCTAGACACGCAAATCTTGACATTCGGCAGCTTCGCCAGCTCAATGACTGCTTTCCCCAGCTGCTCGAGAGCTTTGGCACCCGTCTCGCCGCCACAGATGGCTTCATACTCGTCCAACCCATCCACGAAGAAGCAAAAGCAGGCATCGGAGACCTTGGCAACGCGGTGCAAGGCGGACCACAACTCCGCCAGTCCCCAATCTTGGTCGAAGGCACTGGAAGGGCCATTCCACCGTTTCGCGCAGAGCACAGGCGTCAGCTCGGGATCAAGGCTGCACAGCTGATGCAATAGTCCTCGGATCAGCCCTTCTTGTGATCTCTGAATCGCCGCTCCACTGTACGAGAAGAAGTGATGGGCCATGTAGATTGTGCGGCCAGCTGCCCACGACTGCAAATACCGCCGTGTGTTTGAGTGCTGCAGAATGTAGTTGACAAGAGTAGATTTGCCACTGCCAGGAGGTCCAGATATCCAGAGCATGTCAATCCCGAAAGAATGCGTGAGCCAGTATGTTAGCGGTCCTGTTTGGCGGTCTGAAGAAGTGCAATCCGCATTGGAGCTGGTGTCGTCGCTGTCTGAGGAGTCAAAGATCCATTCGAAAGTACGGGCTGCTCCCCTTGACGGAGGACCCGTATCAAGATTCACATATCCAACGTCAAGACTGTCTAGTATAGCACGTTGTCGTTGCGCATCGTTGCCCGAAGACGTCGCCAAATGGCGTTCTCCTGTCCTGCTGTACAGCGGCGAACGCTGGGAGAGCGGATTTCGATTTCGCTGCCAGGGTTGAGTAGGAACGACCGCGCGAACATTTTGTAGCGGCAGAATCTCCTGCAGCAAGTCTCGCCATTCTTCCTTTGTCAGACCTTGATTGAAGGTCACGCCGCCATAGACATTTCCATTGACCTGTTGAGAGGAGTCTGCCGCCTGATTGTTGTCATATTGTTGTCTTGGACGCTTCGCCGGGCGCTCGTCCATCTGCTAACACAAAACAGACATGCCAGCTACGATCCATTGACATATGTGACGTTGTGGGTGTTGACGAGGAAGCAAAGAGTGAGATGTGAAGGACGAGGAGAAGAAAGAAGACGTGTTGTTCGAAGGTGGACATGTCATGTTAACAAAGTGCGCGATGGGTGGCGGCTGAGGCGCGAGGTCTGCGCCCCGAACCCAAGCCGCCAGTGAGGCCCGTGGAGGTACAGCGTAGAATTCGTAGGAATGCGCCGATGTTTCTCCACGCGAGCAGGGCTCTTGTGTAACAATAAATAGCGGCTGAAGTTCTACAATGCCGTCTGCAAAGATATGTTCTTTCACGTCGTTCCAAAAAATCAAAACACATCAGAAACGACATCCGCGGGGCTATTGTAGAAAGAATACGATTAGCATTTGCCAACCAGAGACGACAGAACGGCCGTGACCTGAATGAATAGCAAGGAGAAGATTAGATTGGACTCATTCCTTCATTGGCTATCTTGTAACTGTCTTAACAAGACGCCGTCGTCATCGCATAGTTCGTAGCACTTCATAAGGGGCTATGCACTGCCTTCAGATGGCGGAGATATCAATCTCGCTGGCGGTCACCCTATTATCTTTTCCATTAATCACACCACCACCACAGATGAGAATGATATTCTTCTGCTGCTCAACCAACAATGACCTGCCATAAACAATCAGCATCGATCGACACATCACGAAGAGTTCCTGGCTTATGTACTCACCTTGTGTAACTCGCTCCCTCCGGCGTATCGATCTCAATCCAATCACTCCCAGGAGCGGCCAGATCACGATTCGCGAAGAGCGTACTGTTACTTGCAGCACTCACAAAGATGGTGCCATTGTTGCCACCAACCGGGGTCCAGACGTTATATGGACTACCATCAGGTTGCGTCCCATCAGTCGCAGTGATAACATGGCCGACAGCATCGTTGAATTTCAGCGGATCGGGTGAAAGACGATAGTAGACCGCGAATTTCGCCTCCACAGCACCGTAAAACTCATAAGTGAGGATATATTGACCATTTGGAAGGTGGGACACAGTCGTCATGCCAGGTCTCCAGTCGTAGGTTCCATAAGCCACGTCGTCTACAACAGGTCCAAAGTTTTTCAGATCGGACGTTGTTTGATGGACAAGCTTTTGGCCGTGCTTCGGATCGCGCTGGTCCGAGTAGTAGACGACCAATTCGTGGTTGTAGACCATGAGGAAAGGTTCCCAAACGGGAGTCTCCCCATTCTTGGGAATAGCGCGACCGCCTTTCGCAACATGTGAAACGAACTCCCAGGTAGAACCGCAGTCGTGAGAGGCATAGATCTCAATCTGTGTTTGAGAGAGGTCGTTGGGGATCGATGAGCCTGCGAGAAGTACAGTGCCGGCTGGGTAATCGCCAATTGCTTCTGGAAGCTCGTAGAGGAATGGCTGATATCTGAATCGCAATCAAATTTTAGCTTTCTTTAGATAGGAAGGCTGCCATCTTGACAAGGACCTGCTGTCCTCACCTCAGACCCCAGCCATTCTGCGTATCCTCGACTCTGCTTCTCTCACTCCAAGTCGCACCGCCATCTGTGCTTTGGTAGATGGGAAAATATGGAAAAGTGTTGTTGTTCGGCCCATAGTTTTCCCATGTTGCTAACAATGTCCCATCGTGGTATTGCAAGGTTCGCGCATACAGGGTCCGTGGGACAGTGTAGTTGGCAGGCGGTTGGAAGACAGTGACGTTGCTGATTAACGGGTCCGTTGGTCCATCGTCACCTATTGGCGCTGGGGAAGACAACGCTTCAGCAAAAGTCGCCAGCACCAATATGAATATAGAGAGAAGCATGACGGCGTGAAGAGGTGAAGTCGCAGGCGCAAACTTACTTCAGAATGGCAGAAGGCGCTTTCTACTTATTCTTCCGTATCCAGAGTGATATTATTATGCAGGTACAAATGGGAAGACGGCACTTGTTTAAGGTGTGATTCCTTGCTGCGGGATGGTAACAACCAGGATGCCCGGCCGACGTCTCCGCATTCATACAACTGTAGATCCCATGCCAATGCGGGGAGGACAAGGATTCAAGGATGACGATCAGTCATCAATATCCCTTCCCTTTCAGCCTTCTTCCGCTGGTGTCTGCATGCCAGATCTTGCTTGCTCTCCATCAGAAGGTTCCTGTCGTGAGGGAGGCTGAGACTCGTCGAAATCGCCGTTGAGTAGGTATGGATTCGGTGGGAAAGCAGGTTCAGCGGGTTCTGGTGGCAATGGCTGTCGCTTCCATACTCTGATGGCTTTGTCGGCGCCGCACGTAGCGACAGTCTGGTCTGGCAGGCCAACGTCAACACCAAGCACGACGCCTTCGTGACCTTCAAGAGTCTGCATGACTTCTTTCGAGCTCACATCCCACAGGACAACCCTGCCGTCCTCGCTACCGCACGCGATGAAGGCCCATCTAGGTTCATCTTCAGGCGTGCCATTAGCTCCACCGTCCTGGGTCGGTGCGAAATATGGCTGTTCAGTATACACGCCGAAGCATGCCTGCATACTGAACTTCTCGTTCTTGTGACCTTGATAGGTTTTCTTGCATGTGCCATCGACGTAGTCCCAGAGTCGCAAAGAGTTATCAAGGGTGGCAGCCAAGACGTACCTGCCGTTTGGCGAGAACTTGACGTTGGTTACAGGCGCTCGGTCTTCATGGACGAGTGTCTTCAGACATTGCCCAGTACCGGTGTCCCATATTCGAATCAGGCCATCGCTCGAGCACGAGGCTACCAGCGTGCCATCTCTCACCACATCCACGCTTGACACAGGGTCTGAGTGAGCAGGCAAGCTTCTCATAAGCCTCGCCGTGCGCACGTCCCAGAGGAAGACAGCCTCATCGTATGAGCCAGAGACAAGCATGTTGCCTTTGGGGGAGAATGCAATCGAGTGGACATAGTTATGGTGTCCAGCTAGCGGGTTAGGCAAGCTTTTGCCAGTCGCGATGTCCCAGAGTCGGATGATTTTATCGTCGGAGCCAGATGCGATCACTTTCGAGTCTGGACTCCAGGCAATGGTGGAGATACCTGCCAAGTGTCCTTCCAGCGTCTGCGAGAGTGATCCTGTGCGCGCATCCCATATTTTGATCGTGCCGTCCGCCGCTATGTCCAATTAGTCTTGTGCGATATTCCGTATCTGTGGTTGTCCTCACAGCAACTCGCGATCCACTTCCCATCGGGTGAGAACTTGACTGATGCCACGCCTCGCTTATGCCCTCTCAGCGTCAAAAACGGCACATAGTTCAGCCTTGTCGGTCGCTCGACCCTTCTTCTCTTAGGACTCCTCGCCTCGTCGTCGCTGCCTTGATCTGGTGTGTTGAAGGCATTGTCGGCATCGCTGCCCAGGTCATCATCGTATGCGAAGGAGAGCTTGGCGTCGGCGCCGTCGTATTGAGGCGTGTTCAATCCAGAGGACACCGCTCGTTTGCGCTTCGGCGAGCGGCCTCGGGGTTCAGGCGACGCTTCGAGAGACATTTCGTTGTGCGAGAGTGCATCGTCCGCCAGGCCAGAAATGTTTCGGCGCGTAGCTTTCACTAGCGCGTTTTGCTTAGGCTTAGTCAGTGCCAAGACCCTGGGCGCCTCGCCTTCTCACGTTCCTCCTCTTCTCTTCTTCGACCTCCACTCTACGCACACCTCGACAACACCAGAAAGGCAAGCTGGATATTTTATCACGAGTCAGCGCCAAAGGCCAACAAGTGAAGTAACGAATGGACGCGATGCAAGATACGGCCATACGAATGTACGAGCGAAATGATGAATAAGAAAGCTTTCGCAGCAGTACATGTACCAGTACCAGCACGCTATATGGATCTCCTGGTGTTTATTGCACTCATTGCGAATCATAGTTCTTCTCTGTGTGCTTTTCCCATGCCGATAAGACTCACTTCCCACCTCATCAAGACCTGGAGGTCGCTCATCCTGACAGTCTACCCTTATCAAATGCAACGCGGCGCTCTCTGCTCTTCCTCCATCTTTGGATAGTGCATGGCCCGGAAATCTCTGCAGAGTCATATAACTGACTGGCTTCATCATCTTTCCGCTCATCCTCGGTAGTAGCTCTTTAGCCATTTGGCCAAGGTGCGCCGGTCAAAAATGTGCTCTTTGCTACCCATATCGGATGGCTCTGGACGCTGTGGCTCCTGGTCCATCTTCGACTCACGCTCAGTCTCGAATTCCGTCTGCAAGTCTTGCCAGGTAAGAGCCATGAAATCGGACCACATAATGAGTCGCTCGAGCTCTAGTGCTTGAAGACTGCCAAGGTCTGGACCATCAGAAGCAATCAGAGTTTCATGCTGGATGCCCACCGAATGACGAGACTGGTATGCATGTAGGCAACTCAATACCACCTGCAGGAAGATGCATGCCAACATGATGCGACCGGCCTGGCTCGCAGTCCACAGCAGAGCGTCGCACGCCATCTTGCCAAAACGCTTGCCGTTCGCGAGCCATACCTGCTTGTTATCGGTGATGTACTTGCCAGAACGACCGATTTGCTGACGCATAGCTGCAGTGAAGCGGGCAATGTAGGGCTGCAGACTGTCCGATGCCCACAGCAAGCCGGCTGTAGCCAACTCGAGCACCGGTAGGCGCGGAGTCTTGACCATGAGAACGAGGCAGACGGCCATGAAAGTGCTGTTGTAACGGATCTCGCCAAAATTTTCCACTGGAAGCACAATGTAGCCCACGAACGCAGCCAGGATTGCCTTGAGCACCATATCGAGGACGAGACCGATGAAGCCGTCGCAGAGTCTCAGCATGTTCGAGGCCTGTACACTCTGAGCCGCCGTGTTGTTCGGATGAACGACTTGCTGCTCTGGCATCCACTGCTTGGCCATGGCCTTAACCTTCTGCTTAGCACCGGCGAGCTCTCGAGCCATGGCTGTGTCTCTGAAGTTGACCTGAGACAAAGCATAGATGCACATCGATCCCAGAATTAACAACACGACATATTCCACGACTGGATGAATGGTGATCTTGTACCACGGCGAGATTGCTCTCTGGATGACGAGTACAATAGCCGGTAGCATCATAGAGTCAGCGATGGTCTTCCAAGCCTGTCGAAGTTGCTTGTCGCCCTCGGTAAGCTCTTGTTCTTCCACCTCCTCTTCTTCCTCTTGCAAGCTGTCACGGAACGCTTGCCATGTGTCTGAGAGCTTCTGGCGCACCGCTTGCCATGTGTCTACCAGCTTCTGGCGCACCGCTGGCTGTCGCGCGACAAGAACGATCCCATAGCATAACATAACAATCAGTATTACCTCGGCGACAAGGAGGAGTCCAAGAATGAAGATGAATTCATGGGCTTTGGCTTCCGATTTGGTTCTCTTCATAGCATTGTACGAAAAGACGGGCAACATGGTTATCGCGAAGGTGGTCCAGGCGAAAAACACGATCGGGGTTATCAATTCCACACCTTTGGAATCCTTCTCTCCGTCGTCCGCAATTGCCTGCCACAAAGTCATGAGCTGTTGGCGTGTAGCGTGGGCGACACGAGCGAGGAACCCGTGGTAGAATTGTGCCAGGCGCACTAACATGGTGACGAGAATGAAGAGCAGGAGACCGTTGATAATGGGCTCTGTCTCCTTGACTGTTGCCGGTGGGCCAAACATGACGAAGACTGCAATCATCAAGAGTGTCGGAAACATGATGGAAGATATCATCACGTCGACCGTGGGTTTGTCTTGCTCAACCTCTTCTGGTGCCTCCGATGGCGTGTCTTCGAGGGCAATGTCGCTATCAACCGTCTCGACGTTTATGCGGGCCGTCGAATCGCGGCTGACTTTTGACGATTGAAAACCGCGCTCTTCTTCAGATCGCACAGCTCCTTCCCAAGTGTCAATCTCGAATTGCGCGAGTGAGCCTTCATGATTCTCCTCGCTCCGAGGCTCCTCAGATTCGGCATCGAAAGCATCGAAGTCATCCAGGAGTTGCTGGACTTTCAAGTCGTTGAGAATTTCGGACTGAGTCTTAACAAACGTCAAGCCTGCGCGCGAACGTCGAGGCTCGTTGGACATAACTGGTCGGCTGTCGGAGTGCTTCGCTGGCGACTCAGATGGAGTTGGCGTGCTGACAGCCTCCCAGTCTGAGTCTGACTCGTTGTCAGAGGTGACCTTGCGAGTCGAGGTCGCTTCCATGATGGCAGGTACTGAACGCTTCATAGCGCAAGCAAGCGATGCTTCCAGAAGTGTTGCAAGTGACCGTGGTGGTGGTGGTGGTGGTGGTGGTGATGCGTTGTTGCGACGCAGAGTGCCTTGCGAAGTGGAAGTGCTGATTAAACGCGCAAGTTGTCTTCAGATTAGTGGCTTCTTTTGTAGGTCGTAAAGTGAGGTGCATCCGTGCGCCCCGCACAGCGTTTGCATGTGATGCAACTCTTCGAACCGGTGCTCACTTTCTGTTCGTACATGCGTTTGGCGGAACTTCCTTCAACGCCATTGAAGATGTGTTCTCACAACACAGAAGACGCGAGGGCGCTACCCTATACGACTTTCGTCGTCGAATATGTCATATTAGCTTGTTGCGATCATGTGGTGTTGAGGAAAGGAGGACCTATGACAACCTTCACATTCCTTGAGCGTGATGAACAACAAACAGCAGGCACTAACCCTATTGCTTAAGTTCGCGCTGGCATGCTCATAAATCTCATGGCCGCAGAGCTTTACTTCTTCACATGCACAATACCTCCCTGCTCATAAGTGTGACTGACCTTATGCAACGGATCAACATTAGCATACCCAACCCCCTCTACAGCCTCATGCTCAATCTCTTTCACTCGACCCACATGCTTCTCATCATCCGAAGATCTACCAGAAGAAGCATTCCTCTCACTCACAATCTCCACGCCATCAATCGTCGTCTCAACCAAACTACCTTTCGCAGGGAAGAACTTGTGCAAAGTGATATAGATGACGACACTACTCGTGAAGCCGTAAAGCCAGCAGAAAGTGTAAAGATTCTTGGCTCCATCTGAGATCTTCGCGTTAGAGTTGATACTATGAGCCAGACCAGGAGTGTTAGGACCGACAGCGACGAGGAAAGCTACGAAGCCTTGCCAATTGATCCCGTGCCAATAGCGGTATCGTCCGTGCGGATCGTAGAGGGCTGGGACATCGAGGGCCTTGCGTTTGACGATCCAGTAGTCGGAAGCCATGATGCCAGCGATCGGAGCTAAGAAGATGGAGTAGCCGCCCATGAATGCCAAAAATGTGGTGGCAGATGATAAGATCTTCCAAGGTACTATAACCCATCCCCCTACAATGGTAGCGATGATGCAGCGTCGGAAGATGTTGACCCAGCGAGGGAAGAGGACTGTCAGATCATTCGCGGCTGAGATGCTGTTTGCTGTGATATTCGTCCCAACAGTGGCAATATACTGAAAGTGAGGGATAGAAGCGTTAGCACATGTCCTTAGCGAGGAGCAGCGGTTGGCCAGCAGGTGAATTGATGGGCGCTGGGATATTGAGAGAAGGAGGCTACAATGTGGGAGTGGACAGGTTGAGGGCTCTTGCCAATTGGTTGACTCACCCATGATGCCGCAGCAAAGAATGTAGCAGCTCGACCGCCTGATCCAGATTCTTGCCAATGCTTCAGAATGTCCAGTGGATTCCAATAGAATTCACCCCAAATGATCTGAGTCGTCGAAGTCGTAATGATTCCAAGCACCCCACACAGCGTGAAGATGAACGGCAGAGACGGGAGCTGAATATACTGAGCTCTCGTAGATTTCGCATAACGAGAGAAATCCGCAATATTGCCTAGAACATATGTCAGACAAAGGATCAAGCACTTGCTTCCGAAATTTTCTTCTTACACGAAAGAGTAGAGTAGCTTCCCGTCACTGAAGACATGCAGCTTAGCCAAAGATAAGCATAGGTCGAGCCAATAACACTTGGCTTCACATCGAAGAGCGATCCACCTCCACCAGCTTTGTGGACACACCAGCCCAAGGTCGCAATAGCGGTCACTGGTGCCGCGACGAGCTTGATAATGAAGAGCCATCGCAGTCGGGTCGGTGGGATCAGCAGCAGTGGCAATTGTACTATCCAGAAGATAAAGTAAGAGATCATGGCCTGGGTAGTGATACCTTGGTCTGCTGGAATCGTATTCTTAACGTTATTGTACGAAGGCCAGATCGAAGAGATCATCAGTGTCACACATTGCGCGCCATTAGCGTTTTGGACACCAAGCCAGAACATTGCCAGGATCGAGCGCGAGACAATTGCGAAGTAGGCGAAATAGTAGCCGAAGCCGGATCGAATGATCACTGAAAAAGGGACATGCAAAGCAGCTCCGATGGCGCCGTTGAGGACCATTGGAATGGCGACGCAGAAGTTGCCGACTACCTGATGTCTTGTTAGGACATTCGCGATTGGGACGCGACCACGTGCCTACCATGATGGGAATTGCTTCTCTCCAAGTCAGACCGACTGCTACGATGGAACTGGCAGTCTCCCAGGTACCCAAATTGATGCAGTCAGTCGCCCAATACGCCATCCAAGTCCTGATAGTCCAAGTCTGGTCTTCAGGCAAAACCGGATCCATATCTTTGTTCGTCCAGACATAATCGGGCGCAACAGCACTGTTCTGCTTCGGGAGCTCCCAGCTTCTGACAGAAGTGCATCGTGCCCTAAGCGTCTGCTTCGAGGGAATATGCCTCTTGACCTTATCTGTGACCCTCTCCATGTCGAAGTCGAAGATGAAGCCGAGCGCAAAAATCTCACAAGAGGATGTCCACGAGAGCAAGCGCTACATGTGATTTTCAACTTATCCCAACAAGAAGTCAGCCTTCGCACAACCTATCTGTGCTACTCTCACGAGTTGGAAAGCTATCATTGGTAGTACAAGAAGTCTTATCGCGGAGGCTGACCGGCCCTGGAAGTCTGAATTGTGCAATGGTTCATCACAGCTGCTGCGATACCACATGGCAGCAGCGTGGCCGTCGGCATGTCGAATACTTGTCTCCATCTACCTTTCTCTTATCTTTGTCGCCGGGCCTGCCCAGGAGGAGGCCTGTCTTCCTCGACCGGTGTTCTAGGCTTGCTCTGCGGCACCTCGTTTGCGCTCCACGATGTAGCGGACGGCACCGATCAAGCAACAATGCTTAGGAGGAGATTTCTTGAGGCTTGAAGCTCTTGAAGTCGATCGCTAGAGGAGGTGGAGTCGTTGTCGTGTTGTGGTCTCGCTGTTCGGCCAAACGAGTCATGGGCGAGGCTGCCGTGAGCGAGGCAGTATCGCCTTCATTATCGGCATCGTCGGCATCGCAGTTTTTCAGGATTTCGACACGATACACATGGCATTAGATTGACTGTGATGGTGCAAGCTCGAACAGGCCCAAGAAGGCAACCTCACTTCGGTCCGAAACACGAAGTCTTGAATGGTACACTCGTCCACAGCTACCCCTCACCTACGGCAAGATTGAAACGTCTTTTGCTCCCGGTGGCACATAAGTGGGCACTAGGGCATAAGCGACAAATGTGGGTAGGAATTCATCGAGTCAGTAGTATATAAGCTACGTTCCTCAGTTATTGCAAAAGCACAACATCCACTCCCGTAAAAAAATGGGTTCAGAAGCCTATCCCGTCCACAAAAGCGGCATTTTCAACAACCTGCCCACGTTCAACCCATCGATCACAGGCAAAACAGCTCTCATCACAGGCGCAAATGGCATCTCTGGCTTCCATACCATGCGAGCATTGCTCGATAGTCCTGAAAGATGGACGAAGATCTGGGCTGCGAGTCGAAGGCCTCCTCCGGAAGAGATGATGAATCTGCTTTCCGAGGAGCATCGGTCTCGGGTTGAGCATGTAGCTTGTGACTTTCTATCCAAGCCAGAAGAAATTGCAAAACAGCTTCAAGACAAGGGCGTCAAAGCTGATTATGTCTTTTTCTACTCGTATGCTCAGCCGAAGCCGAAAGAAGGCGCTCCTGTATGGTCCAATGCCGAGGAACTGGTTGAAGTTAACGGTAAGATGCAAAGATTAGATATGCAATCGCTCAAGCTGATTTGTGGCTTTGAAGCTGCTCTTCTTCGAAACTTCTTGGGCGCCCTGGAAGTGGCGAGTATCAAGCCTGCTAGATTCTTGCTGCAGACTGGTGCCAAGAACTATAACATTCACCAGGTCAGAGAGACGGCATTCCGCTAAATGCTTCCACTAATGCTATAGCAGGGCCCATCCCGAACGCCGTATGTCGAGAGCGACCCTCGAAGCAACGTGGCCCCCAATTTCTACTACCCGCAGGAAGATATCCTCTTCGACTACTGCCAGCGTAACAATGTCGGCTGGAACATCATCTGTCCAGCTTGGATCATCGGCGCCGTCAACAATGCCGCGATGAACGCGACTCATCCGATTGCTATCTATGCTGCAGTACAAGCTCACAAGGGGGAAAAGTGCGAGTATCCCGGTGACTATGCAAGTTGGCTTGCACCGGCAGAGCATAGCACAGCTCAACTTACGGGCTACCTCTCCGAATGGGCTGTTCTTGAAGACAAATGCAAGAACCAGAAGTTTAATGCGAGCGATACTTCTCCATTGCCCAACAATCGGCTCTGGCCAGAAGTTGCTCGCTGGTACGGCACGACCAGTGTCAATCAACCCGAGCTTGACGAAAGCAAGATCACTACGCTTGATCTTGGGCAAACCGAGGTGCCCCTAGGTTTCGGTCCTGGTGGCAAAGTGCGATTCGTGTGGTCACTCCAGGAATGGGCGACGAAAGCTGAGAATCAGCAGGCCTGGAAGGAAATCATGCAGAAGCACAATTTGACGCACAATCCATTTGAGGACGTCAAGGCCAATTTCGAATGTGGCGAGTTCATCGTTTGGGGCACTGCTGGCAGTCTGTCGATGAATAAAGCCAGGTATTTCGGTTGGACCGGCCATGTCGATACACTGGAGAGCTTATTCCGAGCATACGGCGAGCTCAACAAGATTGGAATGTTGCCGCCTATAGTGGTGCATAATGCTCGGCCGTTGATATGACAAGCATTGTTTTGACCTTTGCTGATTCTGTTCGAGCCAATCAGAAAAGCATAGAAGGACGCTACACACGCCGGAGTTCACGCCTTTGTAGCCGATTCCGGTCCATCACTGCCCGTGTGCTTCGGCCAGGTAGCTGGTCAACCATTTTTTCGACTGATGCACCATCTTTTCGCAGCTGTTCGAGCTTCTGAATTTCCTCGTCCGACCACGGCTTAATTCGCCTCGCAACGAGGCCTGCTCGGAGGAGCTTTTTCACGTAGGTTTGGATAGTGTTGAATGGATGGTTCGGCAGTGCTGCACAAATTCGCGCAATATTTGCGCCTCGGTTGCGCATGTCCCGAATCTTTCCAGCTTCCTCGATACTTAATCGGACATGAGTCCTTTCCTGTAGCCATTGGTAGACAGTTTGATAATTAAGATCAAGAATCCGCGAAATTTCCGCGGTCGTCCTGCCTGCTGCTCGTAATTCCAGCGCGCGCTCATATTCAGCCTGTGATCGTTTTCGATAAACCCGCCGCCTCGTTTTCTTCACAGGGGTGGTTAGACCCAGTTTGGTAAGCCTCCCATTAACTGCAGACGCACTGCGTTCCAAAGCATTCCCCATCGCGCGATATGTCTCGCCCTTCCCACGAAGCGTTTTCAAGAGCAGATCTTCCTCCGAAGTCCAAAGACGCCTTCTGCTTGTTGGCAGTGTGGTGGCAGCTTGCGCGTCGAGCAATCCGTCGTGCCGCAATCGAACTAAATAGCTCACAACACTGCGATGCGACCGATGAAGCTGTTCAGCAATGGTCTTGGGGTGAGCGCCACGGGCATGCAACTCTTTGACCTTGTCGAATTCTTCTTGAGTCCAGCGACGAGCGACGTCCCAAGATTTGCTATTGCTAAAGAAGCGATAAAGCTGTAGGTTTCCAAAAGGTACTGGGCGGTGCCAGGTGAGTTTGCATAGGGTTGGTGTGCTCGTTCGACACCCGTGGAAGTGTCGTGTCCACATGTCTTGATGAAGTGAAGTATGTTGGGTATTCCAAGATACATGCGGCGAAGACGCGTTGTGGCGGAAGAATCTGTCCAACAGTCAGCTGACTGCTTGGCAATCTGAAGACGGGAAATTAAACCACGACGATACCGCGACAACAAGCAACAGGTATTCACTGAAACATAGATGTTCGAATTCAGCGGGTACGATGAACCCAGTCGTGTGCTGAAGATGCTATATCAATGGGGAATGTAGACAATATCGACAGTTTGAACTTGCCTTACAATATGAGGTCCAGAAACTTGAGTTTGGCTAAGCGAATCTCGGCATGTTGAACTGGTGCCTCTTACAGACCAACAAAAGTGTTACAAAACGCTGTTAATCTTGGAGGTAGTCGTCCACTTTATGAAATTCGTCACACCACTTCAATTGATACAGAATCTATAAGTCACATCAGATGATCTACATCCTTCAAAGTCTTCCCTGTCAACCTCCAGTAACCTAAGGACTCTGCAAAAGATACACAACACTCCTCCCTGCATCCTCCGGCGCACCAAATCCCATCGAATACTAATCCGCAATAAACTTCCCATACGCCTCATCAAGTTGCATCTCCTCGAAGTCTTTTCCTAAAGTCTCGATCATTTCTGGAGCATTGTCCTTACTCCAACTCCTTACCACCCAACGTTTTCCTCTGGACTGATATACACTGTCGTTCTTCCCTCTTTTGGGCGAAAGATAACGCAGAGTCTATCCAGCAAAGTGGTTGCCATTCGGTTTCCGCCTGCGACTTTGCTCACGCCAAGCAATTCACCCGCTTGCAGTCTGTCCATCTCCACGACCACGATTGCCGTATCTTCATTGAACTCGGAGGGCATAAAGGTCAGCGGCTGTGTAAGATTTTCATTATCCACGAAGAAGTGGCGGAAGAATTGCATATCCATTTGCATCTGCATCACAGTAAGGTCTTTGTCGGGCTCAATGTTTATTTATGATGCTGTTACCTCAAAGTGCATCTTCGAAATGGAGTATTTTTCGAGACGCAATGCGGATTTGACATTGTCTCCAATCTCCTTCTTCGTCAGAGAGCAGCTGCCGACATCCTTCTTTTTCGACTTCGTGCTTAGCTTTCTGCTTTTCTTGGCTGGTTGCTCTGGTTTCACGTTCTCGACATCATCGAGGCTGGAAGCGGGCCGCTAAACATGTGAGCTTTGCCCTTAAGTCTCACACCAAGATACATACCTTTGGCGCTGACTTGGGTGGCATTTTTGGTGCTGCTAACTACAAAAAGCCCGTCAAGCACCAACAACGAAGTGGAGGACGCGACTCCACGCGTACGGTACGTGTACCCTGGGAGCGTTTAAAAATGCCCCAAATATAGTTCAAGGTTCCTCCATGGATGTGAGTTCTCCCCTGTGCGTGCATCTTGTCTGTGAAACATGCATAGCATACGGACATTACTATTCAAGATGACAGTTCGCCGACTGTCTCTCGCATCATGATACTCGCGCGTTCTGGCAAGACAAAGAAATTGCGTGACAAGTCGGAGAAATGAGCCCAAGTGAAGACCAGCCTGACCAGGTTAGACAGGAACGAAGAAAGGCTCGCCAGCACAGTCATCATCAAGGTAGTAGTAGTCGCGACTTTTCGCATCTTGCATCTGGATCCCGCCTTGCGATTCCTTTCGGCCTGGCTCATCTGGGCAACCGTTGGTTCTAGACAATTGTGGGATGAAGCGGCGTGCTTCTGCCTGTGCTTCAGAGAGTAGGACTCTGCCGCTGCCAGTAGCAACACAAGCAATCAACGTGATCATACAACACATGCATGCCGCTGACGAGGGATATCTGTGGATGTCGTAGGTTGATGAGTGAATGGAAAAATTGTGAAACATCGCGTGAAGCAAGCGCGTTCATTTCGCGCTGGTCGAGCTTGCTAATAAGCTTGCTCGGCCCGCTCGGCCTTCACGTGTCAGGGGCAACAACGCGGTCTGCGAATTGACTTCGCTGTTGCTGAGGAGAAGTCAACGGCTTGTCCAATGTCCAAATCGAATGACGTCCTGATAGACAGGAGACATTCAACCACCATTGTCCAATAATATAACCTCTGGCCCACGAACATGCGTGGATAGAACAGCAGTTGCCGAAATATCTGGCAAACAAGAGCGACTAGGTTCCGGTGCAAATCAAGATTGTCCACGTTTTATTAGACAGGGGTGGTCAGTAGGGAGTCCGCCTTACCACGAAATACTTTCTGTACGAGATTCCAGAACGCCCGCACCTGCACCTGCATCTGTACCTGCGCAAGAGTCAAGGCACACGCACGCACGCACGCACGCACAGCCATGGCCGATCCAGCGTCGACGTCGTCCGAAGTGGTGGAAACCGCACCTTCACCACCTGAATCGAGCATTACGAGTCCCATACAGCGACCAGATTCCCCTTCACCGTCTGTGACGCCTTCACTGGCACTGGATGCCGTGCCACTCCTCGATCGATCAGTGTCCACGCCGTCAAGCACAACTGGCAGCACGCTGTCTACTCGATCTAGGCATTCGAGGCTCTCAGATGCATCGGGCACAGTTGTGCGAAGGAGGGGCTACATGCGACCTCAAGGTACGGCGTTTGCCGACAGTGCCAGAAATAGGGACAGCGTCATGAGTTTGGGCAGTATTGCTCACATGCAGTACTATTTCGCCAGGACTGGACTGCTGGACGGCAAGGGAGCACAGTTGGCAAGAGGTGATAAAAAGAAGAAGAAAGGCCTCATGGAGTGTGGCAGAGAGATGCAAGGCACGGATAGTCTCGAGCCGAGGACGAGCGGGAGCGAGCTAGACTTCAGCATGAGCTGTCTCTCACTGAGCGACAGCAATTCCGCGTATGCTGTCTCCGAGTCGGGCATGGATCATAGCGTCGTCGAAAGCCCGATCGAGTGTGACGAGGTATGGGACCCGAGCGATCCCACAATGCTGCCTCCTACGGTAAGCACGTACAAGGTCAGGCCAGAATATACCGAGCCACTTCCGGATATGCCAGTCTTACGAAGAGAGCTGAAAGAGGCACTGCAAGACGCCTGCAAGGTGCTGGAAGAGTCTCAGAAACAGCCTGTCGACGATACGACAAACAATGCGGATGATGAGAGCGGTTTCTACGACATCCAGGGTCTGCACTTGCTCGATATCATCACCTTGGCAATACGAGCGGCAAAGAACTACTACACTGCCCATACCAACCCGCACAAGCTGTATGCTATAAGATCGGAACGCAACTTGAGGAAAGATCTGTACAGTGTCTTGGATACGCTCAAGAGGATGGCAAGCCGGAACTTCAGAGGCGGCATTCGTTTGCTTGAGCTTACGGAGATCTTGGAATGGATCGAATCACTAGACAAGCTCCTCAAGAAGGAAGAGCAACAGGAGCAAGAAGAGCAAGCCGAGCGTGAAGCGATGGTCTGGCGCGTGGGCGACTGGACAGGCAAAGAAAGAGAACGAGAATGGCTGTTCATGAAATCGTTCGACCAGGATGAGCCAACGTTGCCACAGTGGCCAGAGCCAAGTGACGAGCAAAAGCTTCCCACAGAGTTTTTGCAAGTCCTTCGTGACGGGCAGAGACTAGTGAAGATGCACAATGCATGTGTGGCCAAGAGCAAACGAAAGTTTGACGAGATCAAGACCTGGCACACGGACGTCGCAAAGCCATATCGTGCCGCGGAAAATCTACGATACTGGGCCAAAGCGGCGGAGCTCAGATGGGATGTGCACTTCACGATCCAAGCTCTTGACATCGTCAATGGCAAGGATGAAGCGACATGGAAGGCCTTCGACGAAGCCATCTTCAAGTGGTGCCAAGGGGTGAGAGAAGAGCTCACAGAAGAATGGCGACATGAAGCGCAAAATCAAGAACGTAAAAAGGCGCCGGAGCTCAAAATCGAGCTTCCCCGTGACGAAGATACGAGTTCCACGAATATCGAGCAAGCAAGCAAAGCGCATGTTGGCGAGGAAGATGAAGAGAATGCCGTGCCGGTCTAGGAGGCCAAGCGGAGACGACGAGCTGGCGGCATATGGAACTAATCATGATGAAGTCGGGAGTTGCATGAGCGGCAGACAGATGCCCTTTTTGATGCCCAAGATTGGAAAGATGATGATACCCTATCCGAGATGCCAACCACCGGTGGTTCCAAAGAATGCTCGGAAATGTGATTTCGTTGTGCTGTGGATTAAGCGTTGGGATTGTTGTTTCCTATGGGTGACCTGAGACAGGCTGGAGATAGCTTATGAATGAACATTTCAAGTTATTTTTATTTTACTCATGCGATCGACGTCAATCGCAGTCCCACTGACCCAGGACGTGTGGTCGCGTTCGTGCACGGCATGATGAAAATAAGGTACCGGTACTACAACCAGAAATTCGGGAAGCATTTCACGCCAAAGCCGCGGCCGATAGGCTCAGGGATCCGATCTTTGGCCAGCTGGGATATCCCTGTCCTCGTTGACGTTCAGCCCGCCCTGGTTCTGTTCCTCTGGCGAATGAACTGGTCACGCGTTTCAGGCCAAGGATTCGAGCAAGGTGTGAGTGGGTGTTGGAGAGGCGTCGAAAGGGCCGAGAGGATTGTGGAGGGCGATGGCGAGTCTTCTGTTTGGCGACAGTTCACTTACTTTCACGGACAGCGGACAGCGGACAGCGGACAGCGGCAGGCCTTCCCGAACGGCGCGAGCCAGAGCCAACAAACGGCGAGAAGGAGGCGGGACGGTCGACAGGCGTTGTGATTTGTGAGTCTCTTCCTGCGCCGTGCCCTGAGTGCCGCTGTTCCTGAGTGCTTCCACCTGCGTTGGTGCAACGTGCGGTGCATACATGTGTACTCTCCATGCTGTGTAACGTGCGAGAAGGAGTGTTGTTTATGTTGCCATTCTACACGAGTCGTCGACGCGTTTCATTCTACGCCGACTCGTGAGCTGGGGAATAGAACAGTTCTAGTGGGGGCGATCGCTGAACCTTGAGATGGCACAGGCACAGCCAGTCTTCCACCACCCTTCACCACCGGACCGCCAGGCATTCGACAGGCGCCGGGATTGGGACAGGCATCACCGCCCGCCCGCAGCATCTGCTTGTCCGAACTACACGCCATGCACTACTTACACGGCACAAGAATCGCAATCACGCACGGTCGACGCACGACATAGCTCAATCGCAACTAACACAGCGGATCCCCGTCCACCACCTGCATCGACGCCCACGTTCCAAGGCAAGCAGAACTTCTCGCGGCCCTTCAAACGCCTGGCACCCGGTCTCGAAGCTCGGCTGCAGAAACTCCAACAGCAGCGACGCCGTAAGCAGGAAGAGGCGGCCCAGCGCCGCGCAGACGAGAACTGCATTGGCCGCATTCCGGAACAACAGCTCGAGCAAATCGAGCGAGAAAGAAGAGCGCTTGAGGTGGAGCGGTCCGGCAAGGCGTGGGCGGCGTGGCAGATAATGCCACACGTCGGCGGCGGCGTGAGATTAAGCGGAGGCCCTGTATTAACTGACAATGAAGCTTCCAGCACCCAATTTGAATCCGATGTTGACTACCTCAGCTCGGTCATAGACATTTCCGATGCGCTAGGCCCAAGTGATACTGATGACGAGGGTTTGGAGTCGCGGCAGGATACGCACAAATATCGTCTACCTGACTGTGGGAAGACGAGGCTGCATTTGAGGACGAAGGAGCCGCTGCCGCAGAGTCCTGGCCCGATCGCGACTGCTGTTTCAACATCGGCAAACGCAAACATGTCCAACAAGCCGCTGCCGCCTGTACCGCCGAATGCAGCGACCTCGGCGCCAACGACGCCTTCGCGGACTACAAGTTCGAGTACGGTTCGAGGCGCCGCGAACGAGAATGGCAATGGAAGTGCGACGGGTCCCGGGCCCTCGACATGGTATATGCACAATGGCAGTGTGGAAAGCTTGGGTGATGGAGAATTCAGACCGAGTCTGAGCAGAGCTGGATCCGTGTACACGCTGGGTAGGGTCAGCTTCACAGGACAGCTTGCGCAATTGACCTCCATACGCCTGCCCGATGCCGACTCCTTGGCGAAGCGAATATCGGCACTTCCATCATCGACCGAAGCTGCAAAGGCGCTTTCCGATGCATCGGAGCAGATACGGACGTGGATTGCGAAAGCTTCAGATGTGCTGGAGGGTCTCAATGCAGAAGATGACGTGGAATGGGCCGCGGCTGGAGGGAGAGAAGGCATTGAGGACGTGGAAAAGGCCATCGGCCGTTTTGAGCAGCTTGTCGAGGTGTACATCACTGCCATTGAGAACCTGCAGACGCGAGACGATATCGCGCTACTGTCCGCCAGCGAGATCACGAACAGTATGGAGCGCATGGAGAATATCGTGACAAGCTGGAAGAAGGTCAAAGATAAACTGAATGGGGTGAAGCTACAGGTAGAGATCGCAATGGACTGGCAGCGGCTATGGGACAATGTGCTCGGCGACATCGCACAAGAAATGGAAGGTCTCCATCGATTGGTGTTCGAAATGGAGGAAGCACGACACAATGGTTCCGAAAGTGTGCTATCGAACAAGGAAAGCATCGATATCAGCGAGCTGGAGACGATAGTAGAGGAACAGCCTGGCCGAAGTCGTTTGCGACAGAATCGCCTCAGCCTTGCCGGCGTGTCTGCTAATGGCTCCATGACGCCGCCGCAAGCTCTGCCACCTCAGGATAAGGAGGACGCCAGTCTGCTTGCGCTCTTTGCAAGAATGCAGCCACTGCGGGCGTCATTAGACTTTCTACCCATGAGGTTGTCGACTTTCCACAGCAAGGCCAAGCCGGTCTTTCCGTCTGCCTGTATCGACCTAGACCAGCGACGAGACCAGCTCGAAGCTCAATGGACCAAGCTTGAAGCAGATGCGAACTCGTTGAGAAGCGAATTAGGCGAAGATAGATGGGTCGCCGTCTTTCGCAACGCAGGTCGCCAGGCACTGAAGATGGAGGAGTCAATCACGCGAAGCTTCACAAAACTGAAGGATGCGCTGAACGTCAACGAGCAGGAAGCTCACCCACATGCAATGCAGAACAAGATCGAGAATTACGAGCAGAAGAAGCGACATTACGGCCCGGCTATCGAACGCGTCCTTGCCATCATCGATCGTGGCGTCACCGACCGACTGACCGCTAATGGGGAGATTCTTCGACTGCAGAGCGAGATGAAACGTCGGTGGACAGAGCTGCAAGCCGAAATGCACGACGTGGATGTCATGCTGGAGGATATCAAAGAAGATCTTGCAAATGCTGAAGCACGAGATAAGAATCTTAGAGATTCCGTCTCGACTGTCATCAGCAGCGAGCAATCGGTCGCTAGCTCAATGGGTGTCGATACACCAGGCAGCTCGCCTGCCAGCAGCGTCATTGCTGGTGCGATAAGCCATCGCGGCAGTTTTGGCTCGCGCACACCTACGCCTCTCACTCACATCAAGTTGAGAAGCAGCTCGGCCAAGACATACGACAAGTCATCACTAACGCCAAGCTCGATCCCGAAACGGACCCTATTCACAAAGAAGTCGCTCACAGATATGCATTCGAGTAAGCGCTCGCCATCGTCAATACCAACTTCAACGCCGAGCAAGCAACCTGCCTGGCCTGCTAGACCAGACGTGACACCTGCGAACAAGCCACGCTTCCAACGCGCCATCAAATCCGATGACAACGACTTCAAACCCTTGTCGGCCTACGAGCCATCTCCCTATGCAAAGCAACCCATCACACCAAAACACAACTACCTGCGGTCTAGCCTTGGTCAGAGTGTGGCGAACGCGAGCGCGAGCGCGAGCCGCAAAACGCCGCTTCCATCCTCCTCACGAATCTCCAGCGCACCAGCCCCCAGCTCATCAATTCCACGTTCATCAAGCAGTATGGCCGCTCACCGAAAGTCTTCATTACGTGTGCCTCCAGTTCCATCTCAGCCCACACCGTCCAAGCGACTTTCAGCCAAAGTTTCTGCTCCTGCATTACGAGTCACGAGTTCAGGCAGGCGCAGCAGCATGATGCCACGTGCTGAAGTCCAGGATGGAAACGAGGCCGACAGTGAAGCTCCTGCCCACCAAAGCAAGAGACCTCCCAGCGTTCTCGCGTCAGCAAATGGAAGACGAAGCAGCATGTTGCTTGGTCGTAGCAGCAGGTTAGGCGAAGCTCGAGACAGCGTAGCAGGAGCTGAGAGGCCGAAGTGGAGGCCTTAGACAGACTTTGGGGTTTTTCTTCTTGAGCATGATATGACCCAGGAGACAGGAGACGGACAGACTTTCGTTGTTGTTGTTCTTTTTTTTGTCAGCCATCAGCGAGCGAGCGAGCGAGTGACTCTTTTGTCAACGATACCGATAGTGATACCTATAGCATTTGCATTTTTTTTATAACGAGGCGTGTAATGGGAGCGATGTCAGATGAAGATTATCGGCAGCAGAAGAAGATGAAGGAGAAGGAGAAAGAAAAGAAAGAAAGAAAGATGCATGCCAGAGAGTTGAGCTGTAGGAATAGATTCTAGGACTGAAATGAATCAAATATGCATGGATTGTAAGTAAGATCTTACCTTTGTAGAAGAAGAATGAAGATGAAGAAGAAGATAATGAATGAAGAAGAAGATGATGATGAAATGGATGGGTATGTGTGTATGCTGAGTTACCTTTTTTTCGGTGTATACAATCCAAACCCTCCAATCACGGCGACGACAAAGTCCTTTGATAGTTCAGAGCCATACGGCGTACCTTAATAAGCAAATTCACTACCTCCGAGTCTGAGAATCTCCTTGTTTTTTTTGTTTCTTTTTTTTTCATTTCTAGTATCTTGCTACTTGATGTTTTAAGAAGGTTACCTAATAAATCTTGTATTATACTTCGGAGGATTCGAGAACGAATCGTTCGCAGTACTATAACTTTCTATAGTCTAGTCTATATATAAAGCCTCGAGGGTTCTTTAGTTTATACGATATAGGATATAATATTGCTCTCGTCTCTTTGTAATCTAAGTAAGACATTTTCTCTCGACCGGATAAACTACGCTATAGTGCTAGATATGCTCTATCGAGATAAGATAGCTATCTACTAAATACTTTATAGATATATATAAGGATCCTATTATTACGAAAATATTATACTAAGATTTTTTATCTAGCTAGGGTATTACGGATACGAGTCTAAGTTATTTATAAGTACTAGTCTAACTTCTCTACCGTCTCTCCTACTTTAATAGTATTCTCGAAACTAATATATATACTTATTTAAGTATTCTTAGCCTCGCGATAAGTATCTCGAGATCCTCGATAATAATATCTATTAAACACTATACTAGATTAACGCCGACTAACATGTGGATAGGCTATTGCATATTCTTTATGAATCGCGGCTTCTTGAAGGCTCTTAGCTAGAGCCTTGGCGACCGGGCTCATCTCGGCCCGTCCTTGTAACAACCGGGATACGAAGAATCCCCAATCTCGCCTCTCGACTGCAGAAAAGCTAAGATCATGAAGACAACGTGCATACTACTCTAGCTCTTTCGAGCACAATGCTGTATGTCAGACGCCAGCAGAAGCCACGATGGAGGCACTGAAGGGAGGGAAAAGATCGATTCTGCAAGCCCTCATGAGAGCCAGCCAAAAGTTGACTCCGCCAGTCCCTACGATCACCGCTCTTCCCACCATGATGAGCTAGACGGCCTCCCATCAACAGAACAACTCAAAGGCATCCTCATCCGCTACGTCAAAGCCGTAAACAGCCGCACTTTCGACATTTCTCAACTACCTTGGACACGTGTAGCGCCAGGTTATACAGGCGTCTTACACAACCCCAAAGAGCCTACCACGTCAGCGCAAGCTATCATTGATCAACAGAAACACTATCTCTCTATCGCTCCGGAATACTCGCTCAAGATTCTGGATCTGGAAGTGACTTACCTGAACGAGGACACTGGGAAAGCGACTTTGTTCTGGAATAGTGAGACGAGCGGATTGTATCCCGATGTCAAAATTCACACTACCGGAATCGTGGAGTTCAGGAGGATTGGCGTGAAGTGGATGGCGAGCAAGTTCCAAGGCGCGAGGGGTATGAGGAGCCCTGGTGAGGGTGTCGACGTGCCAATGTTCTAGGCTGTTGGATATGCCACGAGGAGAGGGACTCAATTCTTGTATCCAGTCAAGTGGAGTCGGAGCCGATGTGGTGATGGTGTCGGGGCTCCCGGATGAGAAGACTCTGTATATCTCAGCACGCATCAGTACCTTTCGTCATGACGCTGTCAGTCTGTTTGCTGCCGCCAGGCAGAATTGAGTTCGCGTTGGTAGCGCGAAATGGCAGGCACACTGACATCACCACTTTCACGCGGCAGGAGAGGCGCGTCTTCCAATGCCTTACCAAGAGTGCAGCTCACTTCAGTTCCGCTCAGTTAAGTCGCTTTCCATCTTCATTGCTCCCTCTTCCACCAACATACTGAACCTCTCATCACTTGAAGACACATAATTGACTCCGCTATCCATTCGACAGCCAGTTTACTGTAAAAAAATATTGTAAAGAGACGCCTTTGCCATGGCCGGAACGCGAGAGAAGAATCAATCGAGCCCTCCGTCATCAGCAAGCAAGAGTGGCACCAAGCGCAAGGCCGATGAACAGTCGAGCCCATCTAGCAAATCGAAGGGTGGCCGACCCGCCAAGGAGCAGAAGACGCTCGAAGAAACGATAAAGAACGGTGATGAACAGGAGCATGTCGACAAGGGTCCCGATGAGGACATGAAGGGTGAGCAGCCGCAGAAGGAAGAAGTCGCCTCTCAAGAGCCGACAAAGGCTGAAGCGAAGGCGAGCGAGGACAGCGAGGTGGACGAAGCAGAAGGCGGCGACAAGGTTGAAACGAATGGCGACAAAGGCGCTCTGGATCAAGTCAAGGCCGATGCGAACGAGGAGGGTAAGACGAGCAAGGTATGTGTCTTGTTGCGATCATCTACACCGGAGCGAAAGGGCAGCGCACCTCGCATCGCAGTGCAGTGCTTATTCTCGACTGCTGAAATTGAAGTGATTGATCACATGCTGATTCTCTGAAGAAAGAACAGACCACCGGAGAGATCGCTACGGGCGAGGCAGTTGAAGAAGACAAGGAGCGCGAAGAAGCGCAGCCATCGAACGTGCTCGAGAAGGGTGTGATCTACTTCTTCACACGTGGTCGCGTAGGCGTCGATGATCCAGATAGCGTTCAAGACCTTCAACGCAGTTTCTTCGTCCTACGACCACTGCCGCCTGGAGGCAAGCTGACAGACGGCGCCGTCCAAGATGTCGGCAACAACCGACTCATCGCATTGCCCAAAAAGGTCTTTCCGAGAAACGGCAAGGACAGGTTTATGGCCTTCACTGAGAAGGCCAAGGTCAGCATGGACGCTCTCAAAGAAGACTTCTTTCAGGGCTCTTCATACAGCACTAAGACTACCGGAACTCGCCACACGCCGGAGGTGACGCCGGTTGGCGAGGGGGTCTACGCCATCACGTCAACCGGTGGTGGTCAAGGCACGACGCATCTCGCCTACATGCTTACGATCCCTTCTGCAATCGGAGAGGTACAGAAGGACCTTGGCTTGGCCGAGAAAGGCAGCTTTGCTCTGAGTCTGAAGAATCCAGAATCATCCGCTCCAGCCAACGCCCTCCCGAATGCAGCAGAGTACTCGAAGGAGATCATCGACGATTTCCGTGGTCGTGGTTGGATGCCGGTACGTAAGCTGGACTCATCGCCGCAAGCGCCACGAAGCTCGCTGAATCGCAGATGCGGCGTTGACTTCCGCTGCTTCCTGCAGAGTGAATGAAACATGAGCATACCTGCTGACAGATTTCGAACAGGCCTTGCCAAAGCACCTCGATTACGTCAACTCTTCATTCTTGATGATTGGCGAAGGCGACTTCGACAACTCCAGCAATCTAGACCCGGCGCCTGGGGATGAGAAGGACGAAAACAAGGAGACGCCACAGGAAGAGCTCGAGAAGCTGGAGGGCGAAGATGAGCATCGCGTAGACAACCTCAAGGGCGATGATACTATATTCGCTGATCTCGGTATCTCTTCGAAAGAGTACCCAAAAATCCTCACCACCTGGTGAACTCTGCTTCTAGGTGGCTGGCCGCGCCAGCAGAGGGTGTACCAGTGATGCAGAGTGGGTGAAGAGAAATTGAGATGATCTGTAACAAAAATATACTTTACCTCACCTCTCTTATAACTAGTCCAGCTTATAAGAAATCCCAATCCATGTTTCCCGGCCGGTACCTGCATTTCTTTGCCGCACCTCGCCCCGCCAAAACTTCTCAAGATCTGTCACTCACTTAACTACAGAACTATAGCCTTACGGATAGCACAAAATCCCTCGTTCCTACACCAAATTCCTTTAATATCTCCACACCATGGCGACCATAAAAGTAATCGGTACTTTTGGAGGGAATTTGAAGGTTGCGGCTAAGGATGGTCGGATTGTGAATTTTACGTGTTTGTCGGGGACGGGAGAATGTAAAGGGGGTGGATTTTGGGTGTTTTGTGGCGAAGAGGTTGAGGTTTGAGGGGAGTAGTTTGAGGAGTCGGGATGAGGTTATTAGGGGAGATTGAGGGATCGGGTTGGTGCGGCATGCGCTTGCTTCCGATGTTGAGGGATGGGAGGTTGAAGGGTGTGAGTGAGAGGGGTTGCCTTCAGTGGGATACAGTACTACCTGGTAGCTGAGATTGTTACGTGTATACAACTCGAGCAATTTTGATTATATCTCTATCCCTCCTCCTCATCCTTGACAACCCTAACCTCAACATCTCTACTCTTCGAATACACCCTCAATCCCAGCACAACAACCCCATTCCAAGGATCATCTTCGAAAATTCCTGGACCATAATCCTCATCGTTTCCCTCCTCAGAGCTTGTATCGACAGGCCCATCGATTTCCGAATCCCAAGGGAAATCATCATCATCCAACTCCTCCAAAGGTTCGGGCTCAGAATCGTTTTCGGCTTCGTTTTCAGATTGTGGGTGGAGGGGGGAAAGAGTAGGATCGGGTAGTGATTTGTCGACGTCTTTGAGTTCGAGGTTTTGGAGTTCGGAGATCAAGTTGTCCTTTTCTTTTGGATCAGCGATTGGTTCGTTCATGACCACATCAGCCTTCTCAGCACCATCAGGAACCGTCTCTTTAGGCGCCACATCAGCTCTCGGATCCTCTTCCAGCTTACTTTGCACGATACTACCAGCCTGAGTCCCCATTTTCTCACCAGTAGAAATCTGAGCACAAGTCCTCTCATCCTCACATTTCTCTCCCCTCTTAGCTTTCATTCTCTCCCGAACTTCCCTCCTCTTCCCTCGCATCGCATCATGAATCCTCTGTTTCCGCTTTCGAGCTCTATCATTCAACTTCCGGTTCATCTCCCGATCTTTCTTAAACGCAGTGATCCGTTTATCTTTGAGCTCACGTTTCTTCGCTCTGCGCATATATTTCTCCATACCCCGAAGATCACCTTTGCTTTGAGCGTAATCGAATCTTCGACCGACGTGTAAAAGTTTCTCTTTCCTGTCGATGGCGTATTTCGTGATGTTTTCTTCCGCGGTCCTTTGGCTTGTGCGTAAGGTTGTGATTTTGAAAATGACATCGTAAGTTCCGGGCTCCAGATCTTCGATTTCTGCGGACACGGAACGTGTGAAGACGGTTTCGTTGCCGGAGTTGTGCATGCTGCGGACAATCCAGCGAGATTCTTCTTCGCCTTGCTTGTACACGCGGAAGTGGAGGGAGTGTAGGTATCTTCCTCGCAGGCCGTGGAGATAGCGATCGTCAGGCTGCGCTAAGACGATGACGACTGGGCCATTTTCGGAGATTGTGAACTGGAACTTGGTGTCCATGTAGTCCACAGTCCACGGTACGCTCACACAGGACCACTGTTGCCCAACCGTCCAGCTATCATCGAAGAGACGAACACGGTTGATGCATGGAAAGTGCTTTAGGAAGTCTTTGTATAAGACATCCAAAAGACGCCATCATCGCCAAACGTATGTTTCAGCTTGGTCATCATTTCTGCCGTCCAAAGCTTTGAGCCGTCGCTCCAATCGCCTTCCCATTCTGTGTCGCCCCACGGATTCCGGATTTTCACAAGCCGCAAGTCGCCTTCCTCCCAAGCTTCGAGAACTGCGTACGCGTGCCCGCTGATTAGTCCTTTCGGGCTCGAGGGTTTTGATCCGCCGCCGAAGAGGTACTTCTTGTTGACCTGTGAGAGCTGTTCCCTCCAGAAACGGTCTTTGTCCATGATGTCTTCTGGGTTCAAAACTACCGCAACGCCGCCCGTCAGATCCTCGATACGCTCGCTGGCAAAGCCGCCCTGCTTCACATCAGTTTCGAATTGTTATGATATGATTTTTGCAAAGGTCCTACCTCAATGGCATAGTAATCGCCGTGCGCTTTGGCATATGCCTTCTCGATCAGTGGCAACCAGGTCTCGTTAGATTTGCAGTGGCTGAAGTATAATGCTTCACCACCTCTCTGCAACGCTTCCTTAAGCTTGTCCTCGTCGTAATTAAGATACTGCCCTTCCTTGTCTTCTTTGTCCCAGTCTCTCACGACATCGAGATTATCGTCATCTCCAACACGGAGGTAGAGCTTGTCGTCAATCACTTCATAGATCCACTCCCCATCTCGATAGAAGACAAATCCATACACTCCAACCTTTTCGTTCCTCGCCACACATCATTTGTCGATCAGCTCCCTCTTCGCGCTGACCGCCATCAGTGATGCCAGAAACCAGCAATCCCCGCCACTTCCCTGGTGTACATCTGTGGCTGTAGCTCCGTCAATGAAGAATTCCGGGTTCTCAAAAATGTCCTCAACTCGTTTTATCCACGGGGGAGCGTCAATCTTGTCACGACACGCTTTACTTCTTCCTGCACTTTGCGAGCAGCTCTGGAAGTCTTCTTGGCTCGCTTTGGCTCGACATACAGGAATTTGTCCCATGCTGGGTAGAATTCATCAACACGCCTCCCGCTCGGAGTTGGGTCAGGATCGTCTGCAGGTCCTGCTGTGGGCTCCTGATCGCTAATAATCTTGATCGGAATAGCTGGTGAGGGGTCTTGTGGCTCGGGCTCGGAGTCCCTTTTTGCGATGAGCTTGAAGCCCTTCATGGCTGTCTAGAGCCGAGTAGCCTGGGAATGTGAGGCGGTAGCTGAGGAGAAGGGTACACGTGACAGAAAAGTCCTGAGGCTGCGGAATTGTTATAAAGAAGTCGATCTAGTCACGAGCTTGAACTCTGTATATGTCACCGTGTCTCGGAAGACCATTTACAGGTCTTGTTTGGAAATCGGAACTGTACGGCCTGCAGGTATTTTGAGGCCGCCAATGTGCAAACCAGGTGAAGGCAGACGAGGGGGAAAGAATGGTGATTGTGAGAGATATAGGACCTGACCGGTGTCGATATCTGTAGTCTATACATGATACGTGCGCGATATGCGTGCGGCTGAGTACATATTGGTATGCTTGGGAGAGGCACAGCCGAGGACTCGGCGAGGAGCTGAAGTGAGGCGTCAGGCGTTCAGCTGATGATCCAGATTGCCAGATTTGGCGCTTGGATGGGCGGCCTTGTATAGAACTAAATAGATCGAGACATTTCGCCGCATCATTTCCAGGGCATTCACATGCGGATATCGGCTATATGCTTGCTGAGTGAATGGAATCTGCTACTGTACAGCAATAGCATGATTTTCGTCTCCCGCTGGAGCTGATCAATGTGCGAGGAAGCGGCTTGGATTTCACGATCAATTGTGCATCAGCATTCCCTTCACGCTGCCGGAGACAGTCCATCCGCCGACGTCTCGCTGCTTGGAAGTTGTAAGTTATGAGGATGGAGAGTGACGTGTAGGCGCCGAAGGATAAAACGTGTCGCACTAGAGTAGGCGGAGAAGTCAGGGCTGGTCAACGTCAGCGCCGAATCACACACGGCAAGCTTGAGCACCCCACTAGAACCTACGGGCTGCGTTTGCACTGCGTTTGTACGTGTGACTTGGACAGGTCGTCGGCGCTTCTACTGAACCGAAACGAGTAGACATAGAAGAGCATCTGCCAGCTGCATCGTTTGCCATCGACGCCGTCCCTGGTCACAGAGATTCTACATCACCATCCATTGCTACCACCGCCCCCGCCGTTGCACCCTCTGTCGTGCAGCAGCACTCGCTCTCCAACGCCGACCCTCCATAATCGGGCACGCCCTTTCTTCGCGTCAGAATAGATCAAAGAGTGCTCAGGCACAGCTTCGAGCGTCCAGCATACCGCAGCTACGAGCGTGAGTCCTGGTAAGGAGGTACGTCCGGCGCACTACACACTCCAGCCCACATTGCAAATACCTGGCCTGGCCCAATGCACATATGCTGTGCATGTGAAAGCACGTGGCTGTGGCTGCGGCTGGAACGTAGCTGGCATTGTCATTGTCTTCTCTTTCTTTGGCGGGTCCATTGACGAAATCGGAATCGGAAACAGGAGCTGACTGTGCAACCCAGAAGCAGGAACAGGACGCACGCACATTACCTACACCCTCACCAATTGTCGTCTCTTAGCAACACTCCTCGCGAGAGTGCGAATTTCACGTCTCTGCTCCCGACCTCCCTCGTTGCTAGGCGACCTCGGCATACAGATACCATCACACACGCCCATTCGCAAACACACCACATTTCTACACAGAAAGATCCAGCAACATGTCACGAGCGCCGCAGCAGGGCGGCTCGCGCAAGATTAGCTTCAACGTATCTGAGCAGTACGACATCCAAGATGTGGTGGGCGAAGGCGCATATGGCGTGGTATGCTCGGCGCTGCACAAGCCATCTGGACAGAAAGTCGCAATCAAGAAAATCACACCCTTCGACCATTCCATGGTGAGTAGATTGGAGGGAACAAGGCACACATTAGCTGGCCGAGACTTGCTGCGCTCTTGAGATAAGACGCAGCAGAACGCTTGCCGCGGAGTGGCCTTTATCTTGGACACACGTACTAACCTCATACCCTTTGCGTTTAGTTCTGCTTACGGACATTGCGCGAAATGAAATTGTTGCGCTACTTCAACCACGAGAACATCATCTCCATCCTCGACATCCAGAAGCCGAGAAACTACGAAAGCTTCTCTGAGGTATACCTCATCCAGGAACTCATGGAGACCGACATGCACCGAGTCATCCGCACTCAAGAATTGTCCGATGATCACTGCCAGTACTTCATCTACCAGACTTTGCGCGCTCTGAAAGCCATGCATTCCGCCAATGTCCTCCACCGAGACCTCAAGCCATCGAACTTGCTTCTGAACGCTAACTGCGATCTGAAAGTTTGTGACTTTGGTCTTGCACGCTCCGCCGCAAGCACCGAAGACAACCAGGGCTTCATGACCGAATACGTCGCAACTCGATGGTACCGCGCACCAGAGATTATGCTTACGTTCAAGGAATACACCAAGGCGATTGATGTCTGGTCAGTGGGCTGTATTCTGGCAGAGATGCTGAGCGGCAAGCCACTTTTCCCCGGCAAAGACTATCACCACCAGCTCACCCTCATCCTGGACGTGCTGGGCACACCAACGATGGAGGACTACTACGGCATCAAATCTCGTCGCGCGAGGGAATACATTCGAAGCTTGCCGTTCAAGAAGAAGATCCCCTGGAAGGCCATGTTCCCCAAGACTTCCGACTTGGCTCTTGACCTGCTCGAGAAGCTCCTTGCATTCAACCCCGCCAAGCGCATCACAGTTGAGGAGGCGCTGAAGCACCCATATCTGGAACCATATCATGACCCTGAAGACGAGCCAACGGCAGAGCCCATCCCAGAAGAGTTTTTCGATTTCGATAAGAACAAGGACAACCTGTCAAAAGAACAGCTGAAGCGTGCGTATAACTCCAATCATGCATTTCCAACTCTACTGACGCTGATTGAATAGGTCTGATTTATGAGGAGATCATGCGGTAACGTCATATCCAAAAAGTCATCCACGAATTTCCTTTTTTTCTGTTCAAATATTTCAAAGTACTTCACTCTACACCAGCCAGTCTACTGGTGCTAATGATTTTTCGCAGCGACCAATTGAAGCCATCTCCCACCAAATACTCTGTTCGCCGCGATAGCCATGCCGACGCAGCAGCGGGCACTGGTCCACCAACGGTCTCTCCTAGCGACGGTGACATTCCAATCGGCATCGACACGACAATCTCTCGTCGCATTACCGTCTAGGAAGGCGCGGGCATGGCAGATGGTGATAGGGTGAAGAAGGCGACTCCGTGGTACACAACCTTGAGACGCTGGCTCGCCTGAATCTGCTATGCCCACGCTTTCCGGACTTTACTTTCAACCAATTTCAGAACTGTTCATGATGGCGCATGGGAACTCGTGACGGGATCGAGCGGAGCGCGAACGAATGCATGGTGGATCGAGGTGCATTGTGCAAGAGCAGGGGCTTTTGTATGGGTTGATGATGATGCTATCGACGATGTACGCACGAATGCGAGAAATTAGACAGTTTCGTTGTGTATCGAGTCAATGGCAAAACTTGGAGAACTAAATACATAAGGGTGCTGGCAGAGCTTCGCTTGACTCTTGGAGCAAAACCGCCTGCATTCAAGTAGCTACTGTCTGTACTGATTTCAAGCCTCAGGTACGGAGTATTGAATTGTCCGTGCCATCCCTGCTCGGTCTGAGGTCGTGACCGTCGTGTCAGCGCTCAATTCCAGTCGTTCTGAGCTGTCCGTCACATACAGTAACATTCACATATCAGAAGCATGTGAATTCTCGGCGAGCTCCCGTCCATATCAAACAGGAGAATGCAGTGCTTGCCGCTTAGCCCCGAGGAAGGCAGTGCGCGGCCAGTGACAGTTGATCGACAGGTTCGCGTTTGCCAGCAGGATCGCAGAAATGACGTCTTTGGCGCACAGTTCGCGATGCTCATAGCAACTCTATCCAAGTTTACCAAACAATCCTCTGAAGCTAATCACACCTTCTTTCCTGCACCCAATTCCTCTCTTTCCTACAATCACACAGGATCACAATGTCTACCCTCACCCTACGAAGCCTCCTCCTGCCGGCATCACTTCTCGCCTTGGTCGCGGCAAATCCAGTACCTGAGCCAGTCGTCGAAGCTCGAGATCCTCTCATCACGCCATCACCTGTCAAACGCGATCCGACGAAGACGTACAAACGACCGCGAGACCTTATTTCCGATATTGCATCAGGTGTCGACGGCATTCTGAGTACCTTGGGTTCAGACATCCCATCGTACGTAGCTAGCGGTATACCCAATTTCTTCCAGAACTTCCCAACTGGCGATTCGGTACAAAGCAGCCTTGGAATCGACGACAAGCAGCTCGCGGCTGTGCCGACTCAGGCACTGAATCTGCCCCCATATGCCAATTATACCGACCAGGGTTGGAATGTGAGGTTTCATGGAAATATCTACAAGCAGCCGGACACGAATGAGAGTACACTGAACGATCTCGCCAATGTATTCTTGATCGATACGTCTGTTGAAGACTTGCCTCAAAGTCAGGCTGATATGGCACGCAATGTCACGGCGTCCATCTTCGTTGTACAGCAAGGCCATGTCGCTGTCTCACCCATAGACATTACTCCTATCGAGGGCGGACCGGGCGAGTCCCAGCAAGTGAAACTGCCATACAACACGACAGCTCAGGGCGATTTCGACGTCTTCATGCCAATCAACAGCAACGGACTCATGGCCGGTAACTCCACCGAACAAATCCAGAAGCTTTCTACGTTCGTGTCCAACACCACAGAAGGCAACGGAACAGCATATCTCGTCCCGAACACTGGACTGACCGTGATCTCCGACATCGATGACATCCTTCGTGTCACGAAAATCTACGATCCGAAGGAAGGCTTGCTCAATTCTTTTGCCAGGCCCTATGTGCCTTGGGAGAACATGAACGAAATCTATGCCAACTGGAGCACGAGTTTGCCGAATTTGCATTTCCACTACCTGACGACTCTCCCGGAGCAAGTCACAAGGCAATACGAACAATTCATCTACGCCTACTACCCTGCCGGCTCTTTCGATGTCCGCCCTCTCAACTTCAGCGACATCAGCGCAACTCTGAGCATTCGACAATTTCTCCTCACCAAGATCTTCCAGACTTTCCCGCAGCGAAAGTTTGTTTTGGTTGCGGATACGTCGAATAGTGATGTGATGCGCGATTATCCCAAGTATGAAAGAAACATTTCCCCCAAATCTCATTTTTTTCTGTGAGTGATTGATACTGACTCGTTTATTTCCTTCCAGGTTAGCACACGACTACCCCGACCAAGTCCAATGCATTTTCCTCCGCAACACCACCGCTACCGACCCCTCCGATCGCTTTCCCTACAATACCGATGGTTTCAAGGGTCTCGATCAGAAGAAGTATATGTTCATCGTCCATGCGAATGACCTTGCCGGGATCAATATCGCGGGCAACAGCTGTTACAACACCTCCGTGGCTCAGAATTTGACGTTTGGGTATCAAGGTCTTCCAGGTGGGATTGGTGATGATGGGCCCGTCAATGGGAGCGCCAATGGGAGTGGGAATGCTGCGAGCGCCGCTAGTGCAAGCAACGGATTGACTTTCTTGGCTTTTCTTAGTCTGTTGTTTTGGCAGTTGGTTTAAAGGTTGAGGAGGTATTGTGTGAGTATGAGGGAGGAGATGAGTTATGCGCTGGAGACAGGACAGTGTTTGATAGTACGGTGTCGGTAGCATCTACATAGATTTGAACCCGTAAGACTAGTTACGGAGTAGAATAGAAATTAAGCTTGTGCTTATATGCTTATGCTACGATTGATTAATTTCTTACTACTAGTTATATAAAAACCTAAGTTCGATTTACAATATATCGATATAGATTGCGAGCGTATCGTATTATATATTAGCTTCTCTATTTAAGAATTATATTTAGCGAAAGTAGTAGCGTCGGTAGTTATAGATCTCTATTACTAGAAAGTTCCTATACTAGTAATCTATACGTATAGTAGTAAGAAAATAGAGTTTCTAGTTCCTTTTTCTTTTTCTTTATAATATTCCCTTTACTTTCTCTTCTATCTATAGTAGTAGTACTAGCTATCTTATTAAAACCCCTCCTTATCTTATATACTATCCTTTTTTTTAACTTTTTTTCTATAACTATCCTCTTCTCTTCTCCTTCTTCTTTTAAAACCTTTAACCTTTTTCTTTTTTATTTTTTTTATCCTTATCCCTTCTTTCTCTTCTAGCCTTACTAGGCGTCCCTATAGCTTTAATCTTCCTTCCTTATAAAAACCTACTATATCTAGGACTCCTTTCTTTTTTTTTAAAAAAAAAATCTTACGCTATTTTTTAAAGAAATTCTTATATCTAAAACTTCTTCCGCTACCTACTAGTAGCTCTAAAACGAAAGTAATATAAATCTAAATTTGTTTTTTTTATAAAGAATCCGAGTTCTAAGTCTAAGCTAACTCTAAGGTAAGATAAGAAGGTAAGAAAATATAGGAGGGGAGGGTTTAATACAGTCGTTTAGTAACAGCAGTACTAGGGAAGATATAGTTCGATAAGGTTTATATATAGTATTATATACTTTAAAGAGTATATATAAGAAGAAGAGAGAGAGAGAGAGTATATTTTCCTAAAAAAATTTCTTTAGAGTATAACGTTAGAACTTACTACCGTAACGAGCTTTATTATAAATTGAAAGTATAGGGCTCTAAACCTTAGGAGTCTAACTAAGCCCTCGCGAGATACGATAGATTTAAAAACAATATTACTACTCGCGATTACGATATTATAAGCTATTAGCTAGCGCTATACCTCCTACCGCTACGTTTCCGCGGATTACGGCTATTATAAGGATCTTTTTTAAAGGGAAGGTATATAGAATATAGTAAAGCACGTTATCGAGGCTATTAGTACTATATACTAGGATTCTAGGGATAGGGTAGGTAAGGCTTCGATTATATATAGATATAGTTATTAATTGTTAATTAGATTAAGTATATAATTACTTATAATTACATTAATTATTAATGTAATTACTAAGTATATAATTGTAATTATAATTAGTTAATTACTCGGTATTTCTTAGAGGTAGGATAGCAATACTACGGCGTATATAGATCCTATAAACTATCGTATTTCTACCTCTTTCCTTATATAATCTCGTACTAATAATAGGTTAGAAGCGCGTAGAAGCAATCGAAGCAGATAAATAGCAAATACTATCGACTACTATAGCTAATCGTATAGCTATCGGATAGCGAGTCTAAATCGGAGGTTATAGATACCTTATTATCGCTACTACCGCTACCGCCGCTATAGACTTAGACTTAGCTAGTAGATAATAAGCCGCCTATCGAGAAGACGTCTATCGCTAATAGTATATCTAGCGCTTCTAATAAAGGACAACCGGTTACTAAGAGGCTTCGTAAGAACCCTAAGAAGATAGTAAAAGGTTAGGATTAGCTCGAGCAATAGTATAAGGAAATAGAGGCTTAGTAGACGGTTATAGAAGGGTTGTTATAAGAGTCTCGCCGTATTCTAAGAGAATACGAAGGCGTAGAAGACCGACTAATTATAAAGAATACCGAGCTCGACGTTTTTACTAAAAATTAGGAAGCTTTTAATAATTATATCCGTAAGAAGGGCAACTATATACCGTATATCTAACTAACTATCGCTACGAGGTCTATCGTAAGCGTATATAGAGGGTAGAAGAGAGGGCGAAGCACTTTAGATTTAGTAATCCCTATACTTACTACTTATATATACTACGTACGGGCGAGGAATACGAATTAAAGGTCGAGCTCGCTATATAACGTACTCGTAATACCTTAGCTATCGAAGCTTTCGGAAAGGAGTATATTAGTAGTAGTAATAGTAGTATTAAGGGTATTATAAAGGATTAGAATAGTAGAATAGTAGGACTTGTTAGTATTCTAGTTACTTACGCGCCTGCCTATTCCTATTAATTATATTATTTAGGATCTTTAAAGCCTAATAGCCTATAGGAGCCTCCGAAGTCTACTAACTAAGCGGCTTCGGCTCGCGCCTTAAACCGTAGTAAGCCCTATTAAACTTAAGTTTTCTAAACCTCTATTCTTTTATAACTTCTACTATTTCCTTACTATAGTAGAGATACGCAAAAAACCCTAAGCCTTTATAGCGGCACTTAGAAAACTTCCGTAAGAGCTAAGAAATATAACGGGATTTATAGACCCCGTAGTAGTTCGGGTTGGTTTAGTTTAGTTTGCTAAGCCGAAACTTATTAGGGCTAAAGAGGCTATACGTGATTAGTATATAACTAGGCTAAGTGAAGCTAGGGTCTTAGTGCCTTAGGTAGGGCTTAGCGCTTAGCAATAGGCTAACTTGCCTACCTTCCTCCCTCTCCTCCTAGCTCCTTATCGAATACTACTCGTACCTACTACTACCCTATCTACCTGCTAATATACCCTTCTTATATAGTATTTGATCTACCCTTTAAGGGCAGTAGCTAGATAGTTCTTATTTCAAGCTTTTAGCGGTATAGCTACGAACAAGACTAATCTAACTATATTGCGCCCGAAGAACGGGACCTATACGTACTATTCTATCGAAACAACCGTACCAATTATTAAGCAAGGCCTTCTATACGGCCTATTATACTAAGTCAAGCATACTAGACCGATATCTACTAATTCCGCTATATCCGCATCTTAGGGGCTAACAATATATTATTAGTACTACCCCTTATTACAATAGCCGGCTTATTACGAAACAATAATCGCGGCGCCGCTAGCAGCGCTAGCAACGACAACGCTAGTAGCACAGTGCCTACTAAAGTGCCTACTAGAGCACCTACTAAAGTGCCTCCTACTAAAGAGCCTACCGGAGAGCCTACTAAAGAAGAACCTATAATTCTAGGTAATGATCTAGAATTGCCTATTAACGATATTCTTAACAACATTGTCAATCGACGATATAGCTAACTAGCCTTTAGGCCTTAACTGTTAGGGAGACTTTGGGAAGCTACCTAAAACAGGCTTACTGCCCTACGTTAAGAACAATAGCTAAAGGATAACCTCCTCGAGCTCCGTCGCCTTTAGGAAGCTCTAACGACTACTACTAAACCTATAGTAGGACCTTCTTTACTACCTATCTAAAAGAAGGATGCTAAACTTAAGGACTGCACTGTGTTTAACGGCTCTAGTCGCAAGCAATACAATAACTATATACGTAATTGTAAGCTTAACTAACGAAATGCACCGAGGGCTCTTCTAGACGACTATTTATTAGTTGTCTACGCTATACAGTACATTAATAGCGACCTAAAGCGTATATGGGATAACTATTTCGACTCCCTTAATAACTAGACTACTATTCAGTAGCAGACCTACAAAACCATTATACTAGACACCCTTAGAAACCCTATACTAAGGCAATAACATGCTTAGGACCTATATCTTCGAGCTAAATAGAAGACTAATTAATCGGCTCGCTTATTTAAGGCCTATTTAAAAACCCTTAAAGACGACCTTCCGCCTAAGACTAATTCTATATAGATCTCTAAAATACGCCCTAAGCTTAGGTAGGAGCTTATTCTCGAATTAGACCGCCGCCGTGTATTTGAACAGGCTAACCTAATACGTATTCAATTTATAGTCGAGGCAGAAACAGCTAAACGAGCTGTTTAACTCTAATAAAGACTAGAATCGAGGATCCGACTAACTAGTACTAACCGTAGTAGCCGTAGTAGCCGCGGGGGAAACTAAGGTTCCTACTATAACAATAATGCTAACAATAGAAACAGTAACGACCGTAGAAGGGGCCGTAGCCGGCGGCTATATAGAGGGGGCCGCGATAGGGGCCGTAGAAGGGGCTCGTATCCCTATAGTACTAATCGCTTAACTAACAATAGTAGCAATAGCGGCTATAGCAACCCTCTAACTAGATTAAAGTGCTTCAATTGTAATAGTACTAGCTATCTACTAGGCTAATGCGACAAACCTAAGGACTAGGCCCGAATTAACCGTACTTCCGCTAAACACCGAAAGCACCTCTTAGCGGCTAACGCTATCCCTATCGGCCCCTCTAATTAGTCGAAAAAAGAGTAAGCGCCGTACTAACTATTAGCCTTGTACGGCGTAAAACTATCGACATTATACTAGCTATTATACGCACCTGTCTTATATAGGATATATATAGAGACAACTATAAGACTAAGGTTATACTAGATCTAGGAAATTCAGTTAGTGCCCTTATTAGCTATCGCCTAGCTAAGCAATTAGACCTCCGACAATTGCCTAGAACTAATATGCTAACCCTTGCTTAGTTTAATAACGCTCGGTACTTAACCTATAGGGCCTACTATATTCCTATAGTTCTAAAGGACGACCTCGGAAATGAACGCCTACTAGACTTTACTGCCTACGTAGTAGATATAGACAACCTATATAGGGGAGCTACTATTGTTATTAGCAACCCTATTCTTAAGCACTATACTATAGTTATAGACTTAGGCAGTTAATAATAGCGATTTAGAATCGCTAGGAGAGAGGATATTAAATACATCGATATTAGCGAGTGTCCTAATAATATTAGGGTCCTATTTATTAGCAACCTAATACCTGCCTTAGCTAATCCGATAGCTAATCTTCTCGGTAGAGATAACGATAAACCTATACCCCCTAATAGTATAGACCCTAATTAGCTCTCTCGTATACTAGTACCTATTCGAGAAACCTATATTAATGTATTTAAATACTACTTAGCATCGACATTGCCTATATTCAAAGAGACGGACTATAAGATTAACAT